CGGTTGTGTTTGCTGGCTGGCACTTGCCCAGGCTGTGAAATGCATAGTTTGACGAAACAATGTCATCTGGCATACTATTGCCTTTTCTGGTTTCATTGAAGAAGACTAGAGCCGGGAAGTATGTGATGTCACTCATTGCATCTGTGCACATGGCAATCTCATTCATCTCGTTTATGAAGAATAGAAGGCTGCTTAGAGCACTCTGCTGCTCAGTAATAGCAGACTCCTCAGACTGCTTATCTGACTCTACTGTGCTCTGTATACTGCCACTAACAGCTTGACTCACTGTGTTTTCATGCACTAGCACAGGGCCATTCACTGGCACAGTGGCTGGCGTGTGTTCAGTGGTTGGGTAGTCCTTTGAAGATTCGCATACCATAATGGCAGTGATTACAGCTTGGTCAGTTGCGGCAGCTGACTCTTCTACAGAAATGCTCTCTAGTGTGGGCACAGGTACTTCTACCAGACTTTTTTTGTTTTCTAACAATGGCACTTCTGTAGTGACAGGCGCTTCCAGCAATAGTATGGGAGCAGCCTGCTCCTCTTGTACAAGTGGCATGGCAGGCTCGCTATCCTCACTGTCTTTGTGTTTCCTATTGTCTTTGAGTGCTATTACTTCCGAAGAGGATGGCAGTGTTTTGGTGTTCCTTTTTTTAGGCGGGACTTCTTCTGCAGTGTGTGCGTCTTTAGGCGCATCTGCTACAGCCTTTCTCTTGGACGTGCCAAAAAAGAATCTTTTTACTTTTCCGTACAAAGAAGTCTTCTCTGATTTAGTCTTCTGATGCTCTTTTTTCTTCTGCATTTGCGTGCAAACATCAACAAACCCTAATATACACGTGATTTGTGATAAACAAATAAAAGACCTGGTCTAAGACCCTTCTATATTAAAAATCCAATATCCCGGTTCAAAATAATCATAATAATACTATTTAGTTGTGATGTACCTACTACACTTAAATACAAGTAATGTATTCAGTATAGGGTATCTATAGTATATTTGAGTGTTTCTGCTGTATTGTGTTATATTTTATATGTGGTTGTTTAATTTGTGTGGTTTAATATATTTTTGTATTTTCTGTATTAATATTATTATGTTAAGCAGTAAATTTCTGACTAGTTTTATAAAAGTGTACTTTATTGTAAAATTTAAATTATCTTCAGTGGATGCTTGTATAAAAATAAAGAAATAGAAATTACTGTAAAAACAATACAGATGAATTAGACCAAGAATAATAACAGAAACACTTGAAGACATAAATAAACTGGTGATAGAAGAATTTAACTACACCAATCAGATATTAAAAGGCTGGGCAGCCAATTCAAGTTACACACCGGTTATATTTAAGAAAAACTATCCATTTTATATTATCTCTTTTATTGTTATGCTATCCATAATAGTTGGCATATTGGATGGGATGCAACCACTGCTGGCTAGTATAAAGTAAAAAGTCTTATTGAGTGCTCGGGTTATATCTGTATAGCATACCCGGAAATCATCAACTCTTTCTTTTAAGTCACTCTAGATATATTATATAGCTTAGTACACAGACGTATGAAGCGTATATGTACTTAGTATATAACACAGCCTCCTTATTCATATTAATCTTCATCTGAATTATCAGAATCATCATCCGTTTCTTTATCTGAATCTTCATATGAATTATCTGAATCATCATATGAATCATCATATAAATTATCTGAATCTTCATCTGCTTCTTCATCAGAATCATCATATAAATTATCTGCTTCTTTATCTGAATCTTTATCTGCTTCTTTATTTGCTTCTTTATCTGAATCTTTATCTGAATCTTTATTTGCTTCTTTATCTGAATCTTTATCTGCTTCTTTATCTGAATCAACATCATAATCTAAATTTGGCATCTCAAATCTAGTACCAGGTTTTAATTTTGAATAAACTTTTTTATCCATTATTATATTATCATTAAAGCACTCAACCCCCCAATCAGAAGCAATAGCACAAAATACTTTATCTATTGCGCTTGTTTTGAAATTTATCATACTTCCTACAATATTAATAATAACATTTCTACCAATGAAATAGTTATTTTTATCACTATTATTATAATCAAATGACGAGATACATTTTACTATCTGCTTTTTATCGGATGTATATATAATTCTTCCGCATGAAAATAGATAATATAGATCGAATTGTTTAAGCTTAAGTAGAGCATAATTAAAAGATATAGTAGAGTATAGCGGTTCCTTTCTATATAGCATACTATTTAATTTATCCACTTTGTGCATAATGAAACTAAAAATTTCATTTAAATCGGCGCCAGTAGGATGAAATTCGATTTTATTTGCTATATTACACATAGAATCAATATACTTGTTTATCACATAATCGCCGTTATATGACATGCCCACATATTCAGCAGTTGTTTTATCAAAATTAAAATTGATAGTTAATTTTCTCACAATTGAAGGAGTAGTGGAGATGCTTATATGCAATTTCCCAAATATATCAGATTCATGGTTTTCAAGTGTGCCTATTCTAAGATCTGTGTCTGCCGATACTTTCATTTCTTTATTGAATGAAAGCAAGGCCAATATTTTATTAACTAAATTATTAGTATCCGCCGTCAGTTTTGAGCTTAAGTTTTTTTCTTCTCTTACTTTTTTAATAAGCTCATTTAGTTCTTCCTTTATGACTTCAAACATATTAGTTATGTCTAAAATAATAGAAAGCATGCTTAGCAAGCCTCCATTACAATACTGGGGTTTAAGGCTAGAATTTGATGAATTCTTATGTGTCAAATCATTAATTAACTTATACCAGTCATAGTGAACACTTAAATCTTCTGTGTCAAATAGGTCTCTGTACTTAGTAAAGAACTGCTTTAATTCTACGGGAGAACTTTCAATTCTTTTAAGAGTGTACTCCATATCTGTGCTGTTATAGAAGCAGCAGCAAAGTAGAGTAAGTATGCTAGTTTCTGTCCCAATAGTAAGCTTTTCTAAACCAGAAAGATATTCTAGGTTAGTAGGAGAGAAATGCATGGATGGGTTGGATGTATTCATAGAACTAGAAGCCATGCCAGTTAGGGACAATTCATTATTTTTGTAGCAAGTACGTAAAATATCTGGCATGGATAGTTCTCTATGAAAGGGAATAAACACATATTTACTCACATAATTATTAGCACTTTCTATATTTTCAATTTTTTCTGCTTCTATATCTAAAAATTCTTCATTTATAGGACAGAATATATCTTTAAAAACAGTTATAGCGAGCCTGTCTGCAGAATTTAACTTTAAATGTTTTTGGTTTTCTATTGCTTCAACATGTTCTTTTAGTATATTAAATGTTTCTATATGGTATGCTTTTACATCTTCATTACTGGATATATACTCAAATATATATATTTGTATAAGTAATTTAGCCATACGCACAGCATATTTAGTATTGAAATCAGTAGTAGGATCGAATCTATTTTCTAATTCTTTATATTTAGCTTCTTTATAGAAATCAACTATATTTTCAGTTTGCGTGTAATAATATTTATCATCTAGCAAGCATGGTTCATTTTCATGCATTTTATTTTTGTAAATTCTATTTCCTAGCTTTAATTCAGTACTAAAGTAATTCTCAGTGCTATATCTAGATGTTTTAAGAACAAGCACGTCATGTTTAGCTTCATTTGTTTTTATTTCTAAAGAAACATCTACCCCCATAGAAAGTAAAAACAAATGAAGCAAGCAGTCTCAGTCTGTCTTTTTTCTCTGAAATATTATTAAGAAAAGCTAAAAATGAATATTTTTCTTCTGAATAAATTGTTGCTCTTCCATCCACTGTAGGAAGCATGTCAATTAAACACCTACAACATTTCAAAGATATATTTGAAGAGAGAGATTGGTTATTGTCTAAACTACGAATGCCATTCTTATCAGATGTTTTTTTGCATTTATAGATATTACCGCCAGATTCACTAGTTGCAACTTCCATTTTATATTTTACATCTATTTCACAACCAAACTCGCTTAGATTATAGATAAATCCAAGCTTACCATTGATATATAAGTTTGTAGGATGCTTAGAGCTATGTGGAGATACCATTCTATCCACATCTTTATATGAACCAACAACAATTTTTTTAAATTCTTTTACATCTTTCCATACCATTCTTGCTTTTATATTTGTTATGTATAATAGCACTATACAGTATCTAAAGTACATATAATTTTTATTTTTGAGTTATATTTATACTTTAAATTTTTGATTTAATTAAACAGCTATTCGGGTTAAATATAATCATATGTCATATTTAAGAAATATAAAATTATATTTATATTACAGGGGCTATCTCTGAGATATTCGGGTTATAAGTAGTTAATAGATGATAAAATAGGGTGAAAAAAATATACACAATTGTATAATAATAAAAATAAAGGAGTAAAATGAGCAGCCCAAGATTCTAAGAGGCAAATAGAGACAAAACAATACTAGTTTATGCTGTATGGCAAGACTAGTACAAATATAGTAATATGAGTTATCTGAATGATTACATAAACAAGTTAATATGAATTAAATTGAACATGCGGTATATAAAGGCATATTCAAATCCAATAAACATTAAAGTGTCTTAATGTTCCTTTTAAAGAATCAACCAATGGCTTATATTATATGATGAACCATGCCTAGTGTGGGTACCACACACATATCTATGCGAAGTCATCTAGTGCTATAATATGTAAATGTTTAAAATTTTATATGGCAAGAATAATAAAAAAAGCTGAAGCTAAGTCTGAATTTGGTATACTTCTTATTAATTACATTCTGCTGGGATTAAAATAATTCCTTAAAATATAGAAATCCTAAAATTATTTCTTTTATTGTTATGCTATCCATAATAGTTGGCATATTGGATGGGATGCAACCACTACTGGCTAGTATAAAGTAAAAAGTCTTATTGAGTGTTTTTCTGATTATATCTGTATAGCATGGCCGGAAATCACTAACTCTTTCTTTTAAGTCACTCTAGATATATTATATAGCTTAGTACACAGACATATGAAATGTATATATACTTAGTATATAACACAGCCTCCTTATTCATATTAATCTTCATCTGAGTTATCTGAATCATCATCCGCTTCTTTATATGAATCTTCATCTGAATTATCTGAATTATCTAAATCTTTATCTGAATAACCCGAATTATCTGAATCTTCATCCGCTTCTTTATATGAATCTTCATCTGAATTATCTGAATCTTCATCTAAATCTAATTCTGGCATCACAAATATAGTACCAGCTATTAATTTCGAATAAATATCTTCATTCATTATTATATTGTCATTAAAGGAGTCAATTCCCAAATCAGCAGCAATAGCACAAATGAATTTATCTATTGCGCTTTCTTTGAAATTTAGCATACTTCCTATAACACTAATAATAATATTTCGATAAAACAAATGTTTCAGTGGCTCCTCAATATATTTAATTGCCGAGATAGACTTTATTAAATGCATTTTGTCAGGTGTATATATAATTCTTCCATATGAAAATGCTTCGCATTGATCTGGCATAATATTCCGCTTTTGGGCTGAATTTAAATATTGAACATAGCACGGTTTTGTATTTTTATCCACTATATTATAAATTGCACCTGTTATGTAGTTAGCGTATTTTACAATTGTTTTGCCAATTCTAGTGATGTTTTTTTGGTCGTAAGAAATACCTATATCAACTATTTTCTTTATACTAGATTTTAGAGAAGAATCATTCTCAGTTTTATTCATACACTCATATACATCATCATACGTAGAAGTTACTTTATCAAGGCTAAACTCCATAGTCAGTATTCTTACAATTTTAGAATCGCCAGAGATTATTAAAGACAGTTTTCCAAATGCATCAAATTCACAGTCTTTAGCTTTATCTATTTTAAGGCAAGAATCTGATGTTACTTTCATTTGTTTATTATATGAAAGTCCATTCAGTATTTTTTCAACTAAATCACAAATACTCATCGTTATACATGGGTCAGATATCTTTCGTTTTCTTACTTTGTCAATAAGCTCATCTAATTCTACCATTATGTTATTAGGCCCATTAGTTATATCTAAAATAATAGAAAGCATACTTAGCAAACCCCCATTATAATACTGGGTTTTACTGCGTTCGCAAAATTCATCCCCGACTTTCATATAATTAATTATCCTATGCCAGTCGTAATGAACACTTAAATCTTCTGTGTCAAATAGGTCTCTGTACTTAGTGAAAAACAATTTTAATTCGTTAGGAGGATATTTAATTGTTTTAAGAGTGTACTCCATTCCTTGGCTGTCATAGAAACAACAGCAGAGCAGAGTAAGTATGCCAATTTCGGTCCCAATAGTAAGCGATTTTAATTGAAAAGGGGTGTCTTCACTGGAATAGAAGCTGTTGGTGAGAGCATTAGTTATACAGTTAGAGTTAGAAGCCATGCCAATTAATAATAATTCATTGATTTTTTCGCAAGTGTGTAAAATATCTGGCATAGATGGTTCTCTATGAAAGGGAACAAACACACAGTTACTCAGATTCTTATGGATTTCAGTTATATTTTTCATAGTTTTCGCTTCTTCATCTAGCGCTTTCTTATTTATAGGGCAGAAAAGACTGTTAAAAACATTTATAGCAAATTCTCCTATATCATTAGACTCTTCTTTTTCTACTGCATCAACGTGTTCTTTTAGTATATTAAATGTTTCTATAAGATACGCTTTCATGTCTTTTTTAGTGGATATATACTCGAATATATACATTTGTATAAGTAATTGGGCCTTGTTTATATAATCATCTTCATGCTGATTGATTTTATCTTTACTGCAATTAGACAAATTTTTTAATATTCTATCTTTAACTTCTTTATAAAAATTAACTATATCTTTAGTTTGTTTCTGGTAATACTTATTACGTATACGACGTCTAAAATTTTTATCAGATACAGATAGTTTTTTTTCATCTAAATCTGGGTAACATTTGCTCTCTAGTCTCAATTCATCGGTAAAGTAATTCTTAGTGCTATTTTTAGATGTTTTAAGAACAAGCATATCCTCTTTAAGGTCATTCCTTTTTATTTCCAAAGAAATATCTATCCCTTCAGAAAGTAGAAATAAAGAAGCAAGCAAGCCAAACTTGTTATTGTTCGATGGGATCTCATCAATAAAACTAAAAAATGAATTTTTTTCTTTTGAATAAATTATTGCTCTTCCATCTACTATAGGAAACATGTCAATTAAACACCTATGTAAATTTAAATGCATAATCGATAAGTATCGATTGCTATGTTTTAAACGATGAACCCCATTCTTATCAGATGTTTTACGGCATTTATAACTATTACCGCCAAATGCATTACATTTAATTTCCAATTTCAATTTTCTATCTATTTCATAAGAAAACATGCTTAGGTTATGTATTAATCCAAGCCTATTATTAACATATAAGATTGCCGGGTGTAATGACACAAGTGAAGATACCATTCTTTCGTTGCCCCTATATAAACCTATACAAGTTGATTTAAATTCTTTTACATCTTCCCATACCATTCTTGCTTTTATACATATTATATAGAATAGCACAAGTATGTGTCTAATAAAGTACATTTATTTTTTATTTTTTTGAGTTATATTTATATTTATAAAATAAATCAATATTAGATTAAATATAATCATATGATACATTTATATTAGAAGGAATATAAAATTATATTTATATTACAGGGGTTATCTCTGAGATATTAAATATAAGTGCTTAATAGATGTCAGAATAGGCCAAGAAATAGATAAAAAGCATATGACAATAAGAATAAAGGGAGTAAAATAGATTTATATGTGCAAATAAAGGCAAAAGTAATACTAGTTTATTTTTAAAAACAATATCATACAGATTACTAAAAAGAATATAGTATACGCATAGCTGTACGGGATAGGAATATACATAAGAAAGAATACCAAGATGAATCTGAAAAACCAGACGATATAAATATATCAAATGGCTTTAAATGTGCATATAAACATAATCTAAGTGATATGTTGGTGAATATATCATTAGGGTATGTAAGATCTAAATTGTTTTGTATTTTAATAAATCATATTTATGTAATTATTTAATTATTTATTCTTTATAATAAATTATTCTAATTTTAAATAAACCTATTCATATTTTATTCTTAATGTAAAGAAAATTTACATTTCTTAAATAAAAAATAGAAAATATTAGAAATAAATAAATTTACTTCATTAGGGTATAATACAAACATACCACAAAAAATTAATAGAAGAGCAAATATTACCATAATAACTAGGAAAGTTCTGGCAAACCTACCCTTTATATTTAAGTATCTATTGCCATTTCGAGTTTTCTGATAATTATTCTCTTCTGATGTAATAATTACTTTAGTGCTAATGGGTCTATTAGCAATAACTGATATTTTATCGATTATACTACTTGTATGTTTTAGAACCAAGTTATTCTTAAAAGTATCAAATGTAAAATTTGGACTTTTCCAGATAGAATTAATATTAAATTGTACTCTTGCATCATAGATAACTAATGATTTCATGCCTTTAAAAATATCCAATGATCTTTGAAAGTTGTTCACTTCTTTGTGTATATAAGATAGAATATGGTCTGTTTCGGTTTTTATGCACATTTGCCATATTGGAAAGTATAATAAATAATACAGAGAAGAAAAGTATTTGTTATTATGCTTGCTACTACTTTCAACAAAAATTGAATCGTATGCTATATTTATAAGCCAATGTATATCATTAGTATCTACTCTTGTAAGTAGATGTAACGAATAAATATCACCATTATTTAGTCCAAGTTCAATTATATTTGATTTTTCCTCTCCGTTCTCATTTATTGTAATAAGACTGTCTCCATGCTTTAATATTACTTCTAATGCTCTTTGTATTCTTGGAATATCTATAGAATGAACTATTTCAAAGAGATTCGCTAGTGCATCACTAGATAGTATAACATCTGGTAACACATATATATTATGCAGAGCACATAATTTATTAATGGTATGACAGAAGAAGTTCTGTCTTTTTTTATAGACCTGCGCTGCAACCAAATGATTATTATTCATTATATCGTAGTATGCGTGTTTCTTTTTATAATCAGATAAATGGTTATTCGGGTCTATAATTGTGTTCATAATTATTTTTGTATTTTTTATAGACTTATTAACTATGGCTATAATGCAGTTTTCATCATAAGGACTATTTTCATTAACAGAGTTCAATATTTGCAAAACAAGTGAATTATACGCTAGATTGTTTAGTGGTGCATATTTTGTTTCAAATAATGGTTCTTGTTTGTTCATGTCGGATAGTATACGGATTAATATATCTTTAAGCCCTGGAATAACCTTGCCTGTGCTACTAAATAATTCTGTCTGTAGTTTAATTCTTAGCTTGTCTTCACTATAGCTCATTATAAAAATTAGTTTTTGTGATTATGCAAAATAGAAGAATTAAAATATTTTTACACGTTCAAGGCCCCTCAAACTTTACTGTTTTAAAAAAAATATTTTTACAAATTAATCAAATAGGCACTTATTGAATGTATTTACAGATTATTTAGATTGTATAGTGCCAATCAAGCAGATATACAGACCAATTGCAGCACATTTTAGATTAATACATTTAGAATGTACTTTAGTATTTATGTTGTATAAGAGAGATATAATGCGAACTATATAGTAAAAAGTGTGTTTGTTTAAAATAGCATAATTAAGAAGTATTCTTTATCCATTACAATCGTATTTCAAAAGAAGCCCAATGTGAAATATATGATATTTATTAAATAAGTTAAGTGTTTTAAGTACTGTTTTACACAGAAGATTTCTTTCGGGATTTGTGTTTTACAAATGGGTCTTTTTTATTGGACTTCCAGTAAATACTAATTAACCAGAAAAGCAACAAAATAGGACACAGAACAATACAGACGTCAATGAACACGCTGTAATACACAAAATCACTAGTAACAAATGGAGTACTTTCTCCGGCTGTTAGCAGCATAGGAAGATGGATGGACAGCTTGTTTGTTAAGTATTCTCTCATCTCAGAGACAGAAACTCTCGTGCTTTGCATTAAAACCGCAAGATATCCTGCCATGTAAGCGGCAGATAGACTTGTTCCTTCCCGAATTCTATACTTAACAGCAGGAGACATTTCTGACACTTCCCCAACTGTTGCAGACCCTGGGGCATATGTGTCAACACATTCTCCTGTGTTGGACCATACTTCTGGGTAGAGTGTGTCAGACATACTTCCCACAGTGATTGTATATTTAGACCTAGATGGGCTATAGTTACATGCTGACTCAGCACTGTTCCCTGCAGCAACAACTACAGGGATATTTGCATCATAGAACATTTTCAATGACTTGTCTAATATAGCCGACTTCTCGCCAGTAAATGGGAGTAAAATGATTTTCTTGTTTTCTTTAACGGATATTCCATCTAACACATAAAGAATATCAGAAAGGTCGGCAACACCGAATTTAAACACGGGGTGTAAAACAATTCTAGCTTCTTTTGCTAGCCCTGTTGTTATGCCAGCAGCAGCTGTCATTATAGATGTAGGATGGCTGCTCGGCGGGTGCTGTGCATATTTTCGAACTATTTTCACCCGGCCTGACACTTCTTTATGAACCACCCCAATGTCAGCATCAAGTATCTCTATCTGCATGCCTTTTCCAGTATAGTTACTCTGTAGAGGAAAATACTTATTTCTGTACCAGCGAAATAAACTGGATTTTTTTATAAGATACCCATTTCGGATATATCGATTAATGAAGGAATCCAGCCATTTCACATTAAATAGGCGCTGCTGGCTGTTGATTACAGTATAAAAATTATCAGGTAAGTCTGTTTGTTTATACGCTAGAGAGTACTGTGTGTTTCTCTCCAAGTTCAGCTTTACTGTATTAATTTCTGATAATGTTTCATCAATTGCCTCTTCCGATAAATTACAGACAGAGAATCCTTCAATAGTATTTTTATATACGTATTGTAAGTATCCATTTCTCTTTTCTATGCTTTCTTTAAGCTGTTTCTCTTGGTCTGCGCTTAAATGATGGATTATTTCTAAAACAACGCAGTTTCTAGAATCATTCGGCAGTTTACTGTTCCTCTTCTCTGTTTCTTCCACCGTTCTCTTGTTTTTTCGGCTCTCTTCCAACTCCCGCAGTTTTTTAAGCATTTCCTCTTATTCTGGGCAGCTTTGGTAGTATTGTCCAGATAAGTACTGCTCTGCATGCTAGATACTCTGTCTTTGTCTCCATATTTGTACTGGCTACTATCCACTTCAACTGATTCCTTATTCACAGGAATCGCTGCAGAAATAGTTTTACGGCCCTCAGAGGAAATAGACTCAATTCTGTCTATGCCGTGGTTATTTAATCTAATTGTAATGTTATCACTGAACACTCGAAAGGCCCGTGCCCTCAGTGCCAATACAAGAATATTCCAGGGTGCGCGCATAAAAGATGACAATACTAGTGTTTTAAAGGATAAAATAGTTTTATTGGGTCATTTCTTTGATTTGTTTCTCTTCAGCAGTCAAGAAATTTTTGAGAATTCTTTTCTCTACGCACACACCGCATACAGTTCCTCCGTATGCTCTGTTAATGGTTCTTTGAGACTTTGGAAGTCTTGCAAATGCTGCTGGTCTAAGTGTTGGGATACCCTCAAGCTTTTTCTTGCAGTCTCCGCACTTCTGTGGGCTGCCTGTCTTCTTCTGTTTCTTGAAGTATAATTTCCCGGTCTCTTTATCCTTTGCGAACACCATGACATTACTTGGTGTAATGTATGGATTGTATCCTGCTCTAACTACTCTTTGTGCCATTTACAAGGCATAAAAAAATAAAAATAAAACAGCACAGAAAAAAGAATTCGTTAAAAATAACTGCTATTCTTTACGGTACAAGAGAGAATAGAGCTATAATAAACCCATAAATACCCTATAAACTGTATAATAATAAACTATAAATCGTAGACAAAATATATCTTATAATATAACTTAGTAGTATATGTACAATAAAAAATACTCATACAAAAAACAGAATTAATAATACTATGTAGTATAAGTAATGTACTACATCCAGAAATAAAATATTATACAGTAATTATTATACAATGTATAATATATTTTATTATATATTACACATAATACAATAAAATATATTATTTTTAGTACATAGTTCTATAAGTCATAGTTTATTTTATTTCCTGTATGAGAGAAGTACTGCAAGAATCTGAAACAAACTTAGAGCACAAGAAAAGAATACAAATGCTATTTAGACTGTTTAATATGAACATAACAGATAATTTCAACACCAACTATGCAATGCTTTTATTTATAAATAATGTATATTACAAGAGCATTAACAGGGTGAAAGAGATTGAAAAAAGATCAAACGAGAATATACAGCAATTATATAAATATAACAAACTAAAAGACACTGCACAAGATATTTTAGGGAAGTTGGCAGAAATAAAAGGAGTAACAAATAAGAAAATATCAGAAGAGTACAACACACCGGAATAAGTATAGAACTAAAAAACCAATGACTTAAAAGTAATAAATTATTTACACAATTATTTATAAGTTATAGCATTTTATACACAATGTGTATAAACAATATATATATGTATTAAAAATATTTTATACACAATGTGCATAAATAAGTATAGGTATAAGTATAAATACGTACGATGGGGTAATGTAAACAAATAATGTATCCGCTTTGGTCCAGTGGCTAGGATTTCGCCCTCTCACGGCGACGGCCGGGGTTCGATTCCCTGAAGCGGAATTATTTTTATGTTTTAAATATTTTTTAGCCATGCTTGTCTATAAAGAGTTTACTGCGTTAGACCTCCTTGACTTGAATTTGCCAAACTTAGATGAGAACACGTGCTCGTTCTCTCCTGATTTTTATTTAAGGTATTTATCTAACCATTCAGATTATTGCCTGTCAGTTAGTTCATCTGGTAATGCCATTGGATATATTATTGGGAATTACGGTACATATAAAGATACAAAAGCATTATATTCACATGTCACAGCACTGAGTATTTCACAGGAATTTAGGAGGCATGGGATAGGAAGGAACCTTTTGCAAATGTATGATTTAAATGCTAAAAAGGGGAAGTCGAAGTTTATTGATTTGTTTGTTAGGGTATCAAATAATGTGGCAGTTAATTTTTATAAAAAATGTGGATACGTTGTACACAAAACAATAGAGAAGTATTATACAGAGCCAGAGGAGGATGCGTATGATATGAGAAAATATACAACAGAATAATAAAATATGTGTATGTTTATACTGCAGTATATGGCTAATAATTTATTTTTATATGAATAGGCCAGTAATAATGAATATTACAGAAAGAAGTACTTATACGATAGAGTGTAAATCAGAAATAATTAAGATATTTAATAGGATTAGTGTACGTCTTGGGATTAAAATCTATTTTATTGCATAATTACTTATAAAAGCAGTAAATACACTAAAATACTATAAATATTCGTTAAAACTGATTTATTTATATCAAGAGTATTTAAAGTAGTGGAATTATTGCTTCTATAATATTTGGGTTTAAAAACGCAGCATAGGTTCTTTCTATATCTGACAGCTGTTTCGTCACATCATTTGCTAGAGTGTGGCTGTCCTCCTGTACTTCCACTCTTACAATATACTTACTGCTCAGCGTATTAAATAACTTGTACAGAATTGAAAGACCAATTAGACCAACCATTGAGCAGTGTGGAATAGTTGGGATTACTACAACACGAACAAACTCTCCTGCTGGTGTTTTATCTATGAATATTCTGTCAATACTTACTACTTTTAAATCTTCTAATGTGTAGCTGTGCTCTGGATCACGTATATTTCTGATAATTTGAAAAATGCTCATTTTATTCACAACTATTTCTTTATTCTCCCATTCAATCACATACTCTGGAGACTTTTCTGTGCACACATCCGGTGACTCGTTCATATGCTTAAAATTATTTCTGCATAAACGAACGTAAAGAAACAGGATATTATGGAATGAGCACCAGCTGTTAAGAATAAACCATTCATAAAATAAAAGAACATTTATACAAAATAAAAGTGCACAGCCCATGTGCGCATAAATATGAGTAAAGAACAGCTTATAGCACATAATATGTTTTTATATCAAGACACAACCCGAATTTATTTAACGAAATAGCATAAGATCTTAGTAGTTCAATGCCTCACCCTTTGCTTTCTTCTGTGCACCAATTTCTACGTGCTTTGCTCTCTTGAACACTTTGCACTGCTTTCTCTTGCACTTTGAGCACTCCATCTTTAAAACTACTTTCTTGGTTGTCTTGGCCTTTCTTCTTAAAATAGGCTTGGTTTGACCTCCAAACCCTCTCTGCTTTCTTGCGTATCTACGAGCACCCTGTGCGGTTGGTCTTTCCTTGCTCTTCTTGTAGAGAGATACTTTGTGTACTTCGTGTGTATTGCACTTCTGGCAATGTGTTTTTCTTGTCTTTGGGTAGTTTACCATGCAGGGCTACAAAAATAAAATTAATTTCTGGATGGCAAAATTTCAGTTTGAAATTCGAAATTAAATTCTGGGCAGTTGGCCTATGCTTTAAACGATATTCCTGCTTCTTTGAATTTAATAAGAAGGAACAGAAAATCTTCAACTATCATTTTTGCTGCACGTTCTTTTTCTAGTTTGCTTTCTTCTAGCACTTTATTAAGAATAGCCTCTTGTTCTGGGGATATCTTCCGGGATGGCTCTTCTGTCAAAGCAGGCTCTGCTAGTGTATCATCTTCCTCTGCTATGTCTGCTATTTTGTCTCTGTTCATAAAGAGAAGGTTCTTTATTGTGTTCTGCCTAAATATTGACCCAATGGTTTTGTTCTTTCTGCTGAAGCATATGCGCAGCATGCCATCAAACTCTGTTAGGTCTATATCCACTTTATTTCTTCTTGGCTCAATCTTTACAATGCTTGACTCTACCTTTGGAGGTGGGCGGAAGTTCTTTTTTGAAACCCGCATAATGTGCGTGACAACTGCCCGAATTTGCACAGACACAGAAAGCCTGCAGTAGCTGCTTGTCCCCGGAGCAGCACAGAGTCTGTCCGCAAACTCTTTCTGGAACATAAGAACGCACGCCCTAAAGGGATACTCTAGCAGCTTAAAAACCAAAGGACTGCTTATTTGGTACGGAGTGTTTGATACACACAGATCAAAATATGGATAGTTTGCATCTATCGCATCTTCAATCAGAAGTTGCAGCTTGTTTTTTCTTGCACCTATTCTTTTTATAAGATCAGATGCTATTTTTCTATCTTTTTCTATGGCAACCACCCGCTTGCACTTGTCTAATAGCTTTAGCGTTAAATTTCCTGTACCGGGCCCTATCTCCAGAACAGTGTCAGTTGGCTTGATTTTTGCCTTGTCAATCATATTAGTTACAATTCCTGGGTTTTTTAAAATGTGCTGGCCAAACGTCTTCTTAAACCGTCCATCCATTATGAAAATTCTAATATTTTCTTATTTTTATTGTAGAAGTAAAATCCTTTGTTAGAGTCGCATATTCTTACATAATTTAAAGTAAGGCAGACTAAATTCACTTTCTAATACCTGAATTGACAACAATAATTACCGTTTTACAAGGCAGTCACAGGTTTTTTCTTAATACCCCAAATGTATCCATAGTCTAAATTTCAATAATAGACTTCAAATTAGAGCGTATTATAAGAAATAACCCGAAATTCAAATAGAAATATATACACTACCATAATTACACGGTCTGTGCTTATTTATATAATATATTACATTTGGCTTATACTCTGGTATACTCTATAAAAGTACTGTTTAATATTTAAGAGGTGTGTATAAGAAGAGTCTGTTCTGAACAAAAGAATAAATTTCTGAGTAATTAGAGCAGCGCATATAATAGATCTAACTGATAATATAGACCTTTTAATGTATATTATCTATCTTCAGAGCAGTTTATCTTTTTATGGTATTTGTTTACTTATTGAGATAATTTATGCTATATTGTCATTTGTTTCTGTTTCTTGTGTGTAATCAGTATTCTGTACTGTACAACAGATTTATTATGTGTATTAATTTATACATTGGATTATTTATTTATTTTGTAAATTAACACTATGGACACGAATGGTTATGATACAACTGGGTTATCTTCATCGTTACTAGCAGTTGGCCTCCTGCTGCCTACAATTGCAACAGTATACTTCGCATCTGGAACAAAGAAGGCACAGACAAAGTGTACGTGTACGCAGTGCTTAAGAATGAAAAAGAAATACAGAATTAACAAGTATAATTGGATGTTCTATGGCCTGCTACTTCTTTTAATTGTTCCAGTGTACAATATACTATTCAACCAATACGGAAAGAATACGAACAACGATCCGTATAAGCTGCTAAATATATCACAGAACGCAACAAAAAAGGAAATTGAAAAGGCGTATCGTACAACAATAAAGAAGGCCAAATTTGTAAAGATAGACAAAACAAAGCAAAAAGAGCTTGTGCAGAGCATTCTCAAGGCAAAAGACCTGCTGCTAGATGACAAAGCAAGAGAGCGGTGGGATGCCTTTGGAGATGCACCCGTGGTGAATAACCACACTATAGCCATACCTTCTTGGATTATGAGCAAGTACAATCCAGTTGTTCTTATTTTCTTATACGTACTGGTTCTTGGCGTGCTTCTTCCTAAGTGTGTGTCTTATATGTGGATGTATTCCTTTGAGTATTCATCAAGTGGAATATTGTATAAAAGCACAGAGTCACTGTACAGTGCACTAAAGCACATAGTAGTTGAGGACGTAGTTGGGCTATTAGCACTGCTAAGCAAGTACACTATAGAAATGTCACAGTATAAAGAGAAAACAGACCCGAAAAACATTGAGAAGCTAAGAAAGATAATCAAGGAGAACTATGGTATGTCTCTTCCTATGGACACAAATGTATTTATTCTATGTGTGTCCATACTTCTATTGAGAGATCCAGAGGTTCTGGCCTTAGTGAATGGAAAGGATGTGGAGTATTTACAGAACTGGCTGGTTCTATCTTCGCACGCAACAAAGAACCTGGCTGCGGCGGTTAAGAACAGTTTTTTGTATACACTGTCGATAGATCTAGAAAGAAGCATTATTCAGAGTGTGCCAGACCCAATGTACTACCCAATGCAGGCAGGAATATCCTTTTCTGACATATTTGTTTCTAAGTATAAGAACAAACCGGTAGACGAGAGCACAGAAATAGACAAAAAGATGTTTAAGATTGCTATATCTGGCATGGATATGTATAACGTATTTGATGGAATTGTTAAGGATGGCATGTTTATAACTGGATCTGTGGATGCAATAATAAAGCTGCGGATAGATAGGGAGGGAGTAAATTCATACACCCCCACAGTCATTAAAAAGAGTGATAGCAAGATAAGCGACTCTGGGGATCTTGCGGATTTAGAGCATAATTATGAAGAACTGTACCCCTCATCGCTAGAGAAGTATCCTATAAAAATCAAAGGAACTCATTTTGAACCCGTGCATGCGCCGATGTACTTTGATGACCTCTTATACACATGGACATGCGTGCTGATGGTGAATAAGGACGTGCTATTTGAGTCGCATCCATTCACGCCAAGCAAAGCAGGCACTGATGTATTTTTTAAGGTCCCTGCACTGGCAAGCATTATTTCAACAAGAAGAGCAGAGATAGAAATTAAGCTAATCTGCGAAAAGTACTTTAATAGAGATGCCACAAAAAAGCTATCAGTTCTAATTAAATAAATTCTTATCTTTATTTTTATCTCCACTGATTGATTCAGACGCCCTTGTCTGACTCCTGTCCATCACTGGCACATAAAACCACGAATTGAACTGATTTTTTACTTGCTAGCTTCCTGTCTGTGCTTTGGGTTGAGTGGCTTTAAAAGACCGTGCTTCTCTTTCCAAGACTTCATTCTGATGGTCTCCTCTCTCAGCTTGAACATCTCGTCGCATGCAGATACTTCTGGCTTGACCTCAGACAGTGGCATAGACTCAATAACAATCTTCTTCTTTTCTATTGGCATGATGGTAGTCTTGTGCTGTACTGCTCCTGCTTCAATTGCCTCCTTCTTTGTTTCATAGACGGTGATCTTTGATAAATACTCCTTGATTCTCTCTACGTTAAGGTTAAGAGACTCAACGGATCTGGTGTATCTCTTCATATCAACTGAGATTCCCAGCTGTCTTGCCTTCTTTACGTCTAATCCAGCCTGCATTACCTCAACAATGGAAAATCCTCTTCCAAGTCTCTGCTTGATGTTGTATCTTCTGCTGTTTGCTCTGACTATGGGTCTAAGCAGCTCTACGTTCATTGGAGCTATTTTCTGTGCCTTCTCCTTTCTTATCTGGCTTCTAAGCTTTTTCTGGATTGGCTGGTGGAACCAGGTCTTGAATCTCAGAGAAGTCTTTTTGTAGTGTCCGGTACTTAATGCGTTATTGTGTTTCATATCCCTGTATAAAGAATTAAAAAAAAGTATTTAAATACTTTCATGCAAAGAGTAAATTTGCTTAGAAATAAAGAGACGCTCGCAGAATTATAAGCAAATTAATTACATAAGCAGTAAAATATGCTGATTATTACTAAATGAGTATAGTCCACTTGGTGAACACCAGATGTTTACTTCTAATGAAAATCATAAATATTTTAATTTTTTACTCCCCTTGTATGAGTATTCAGAGCATAACAGCAAAAGGAGGTAAAAAGACCGCTGTGGCAGTTAGCACATGTAAGAACACTGGGAAATTTGAGGTTACAGTTAACAAAAGGCCACTACACTTATTCAACCCAAAGATGATTCTATCCAAGGTCATGGAGTTATTTACTATTCTTGATAAGAAGTACTACGAAGGACTATCATTCACTGTAGAAGTACGAGGAGGAGGTGATGTAGCTAAATTATACGCAGTAAGACAAGCACTAGCCAAGTCTTTAATCGCATACTACGGTAAGTATGTAGATGAGCAACTTAGAGCAGACATAAAAGAAATGATAGTTAAGTACGATAGATACATGGTAGTAACTGACTCAAGAAGAAAGGAGCCAAAGAAAGCAGGAGGACCAGGTGCCCGTGCAAGATACCAGAAGTCTTTCCGATGAGGGGAATAAATGCCTACTATTTTATATTCTATGATTCTAAATTATTTTATAGCGCATGGAGCGGAGTGACCGGCTACTAAAAGAGCTGCACGAAAAAGAAGATGTGATTGCAGAGCTGAAGGAAAACAGCCGAAAGGAGCGGGACAGAATTGGGGTTCTTTATAAAAAAGTAGGGACTCTTCAGGAAGAGGTTGAGAGGTTAAAAGAGTTGCTGCGAAGTACTAAGAAGCACTTGTCTATATACGAAAGAAAGGCAGCAAGCGCTGAAAAAAGAGGAAAAGGTCCAGACAAAAAAAGCACTCAGTCTTGTAAAAGAGCCGCAGAGTACACTCACTAGCAGAATTTTAGTACTGGAGTCAATTATAAGAGAGCTGGGCAGTCAGCTGAATCTTCCGGTGAATGAGATTATAGCTCTTTCTGAAATATGCACGGAAAATGATCCACTTCTGAAGAATGTCCTGCAAAACAACGAAGAAAACGACAACAACGAAGATTTAATCGATTATTTAGATAAAAATGGTGTAAACAGCATACTTGGCATAGAAATAGACCGATCTGGTATAGACTAGAAATTCTGGGTGTATCGTGGCCATCTATAAATAAACAGCACAGTTCTTTGTATTCTCTATGCGCGCACTGTAAAATTATATTTTGGGCTATTTCTGCACGGTGTATTGTATCTGCCTGGTTTATTTTGTATTTACTCCAGATAAGTCACTCAGCCTCTTCATCAATTTGATTTCTGCAATACTCGGCGCCGTATTTTTTGATGGAATCTCCATTACCAGCGGGAACATTTCCTTTTTTTTTGGGTATCTCGTCCTTTAGTGCGTCCGCTGCCTTTCTTCCCAGAAATATCATTGCTATTTCTTTTCTTTCTATGAATATGTTGTACTTAGATATTACCTCAGCTGGGTCAGTTGTGTCAGATACAACATAAAAATAGTTGAACACCCCATGCACAGACTGGCAGGTCCACTCAGATCCATTTATTCCCGTAAGTTTAAATCCATTAATTGTGGCTTCATCTGCTAGAAAAGCAATTTTAGTACGTGAAGAGAGCCCAGTATTATGTGTCATTTAAAAATTTAAATTCGAAATTGAATTTAAATAGTTAATGCGACTTATTCATTCGCATGCCATCTGCACTTCCTTTTTTATACCTTGATGCAGCTGTTCTCCTTTTAAGCAAATATAAATACTTGGTATAAGTAGTTATTGCAGGATCCTCTTCTCTTTCCTCAAGAATCGTATATATGCTCTGGATGCTTTTTGTGGTTATTAAATTTACTGCCTTGCAATTGCTCTCTGTGTTTGGTATTATGATTATTCCATTGTTGTGTGTGAATGTTTCTATTTTTACATTCTCTATTGTAATTGTTTCTTTATTAAAAAGATCTTCTGGTGTTCCCTGGTGCATTGAAATTATTTAAATGCCTAAAATATTTAAGTTTTACTTTCAGAACGTGTCTTCTCTGAAAATACTCTTATTAAATTACTGGTAAAGAATTAAATATTCTATGAGAAACAGATGCTGCCCGAGATATAAAGGAAATCTTATAATTGTTTAAAATAAGAAGTATCAAGATATTAATATTATTTATAATACATATTTATACTTAAACATCCCAAAAAGTCTGTTTGGTTAGTTTTTATGCTTTTACTATTCTAGTATAAATTATGCTATAATTATAGAGTGCAACACAAATTCTCTTTTAAATAAGATTATTCTATTTAAATTACTGCTGTACTATAGAAGAATTCTAAGTATAACAGGAAAGCTCTTTGTAAATACGTTTTTCTGTGTATTCTGAGTTTCTACAATTTTATTTTTATAATCCGTTGCATTTTGGATATATTTAGTTTTACTTTTTTACCCCCAGAACAAAATGAGTAGAAAAGCAAAGACGAATGTTTTAAGTGTTGCCTCACAGCTTCCATTAGTTATTAAAACAGGAAAATACCACGTAGGGTTCAGACAGACCATGAGTTCACTGATAAATGAAACAAGCAAGTACATTATTCTTACCAAGAACTACCCAGAGGTAAAGAAAATGCAGGTAGAGTACTACGCCAAACTTGGAGGAAATGTACCAGTATACATGTTTGATGGATCTAACAGAGACTTAGCAAACTTGTGCGGAGCTCACTTTAGAATGGGAGTTATTTCTATTCTGGATGATGGAGAAGCAGACCTTATCCAATTAACCGAATAAAAAGCATAATGTGGTCTACTACAATTTTATTTATTCTCTGCGCTGCCTTGGAAGTATTCTTATTTCTATGCAAAGAATGCTAATTTTCTTTTATATTCATAAGAGCAAATGAAGAAACTCCAGTAGAAGACAAGGTATCCAAAAAATAAAATATTTACAGAGTTAATACCTAAAATAAAAAGTCTTTTTGTTTTTTTAAACGGTTCTTCCTGAAATAGAAGAATGAAGTGCGCCAGAGACAAGGCAAGAATCACTGCAGGATAGAGTCCAATTGTGTTTATGTGCGAATCTATGCTTATGGCAAATAGAGAGGAATATCCCATAAGCAAAAGCATCATTGTGTAGACATATAATTCATCCGGAATTATCATGTTCAGAATAAACACCAGGCTGTATGGAGAGTAAGTGTAGAGTGTTATCATACCTAGTATTGACCACTTGGACAGAATGAAGTATATAGCTATTCTGCATGCACTGTCTGTATCGTATTCGGCTATAACATTGGATGCGCGCAGAAATATTATGTATGCTATGTATAGAATAATCAGAAGAGCACCAGCAGCAGAATAGTCTATTAATGCACATTTCACAATAAGCCTTATGATTGCTGAAAGAGGAATTCCAATCAGAACAGATGCTGTGTCTTCTCTTAGATGTAAAATCTTCTTATCATTTGATCTTCTGGCTGCTATAAATATCTGAAATGGTGTCATTCAGTGTTTTAATATTCTAATATTAAATATTAATTACATAGCTAAGAAAATTTAAGCACGCCCCGAATAAGTACATCTGTCATTAGAATAATTTAAAACAAGCACAATATAAGAGTAGGAACATATTTCTATTGATTAGACTGGGATATAGACAATTTAACCAGAAATACACACTAAAATTCTTTCTAGTGCATATTATAGGTATAATCTAAAATTACTCTATGTTTTTGTTAGAGCTATTGAGTTATGTTGTATTATATTATACGTATAGCATAATAATTAAAAATTATTGCTATTCTCATATACTCTTCTATACTATAGGCCAAAACAATTTTCATTCTATCCTGGAATTCTTACATATTCTAAACAGTATATATATGGTAATATTTAAAAACATATACAGTACGCATGTAATCAGACATTATAACACACTTAAACACACCCTATAATATTCAGATTGTATATAGCTATGCATTCGAATATAACCCGGAATAAGAATAAACAGTTAATTCCTGCCGTATCCCTACAATTAGATTGAACTTCTAGCTATATTGGGATATTTCCTTATTTTGTGAAGTATTCTGAGCTATGTCTTCTATCTGTTACTTCTAAAATAAAAATTCATTTAATTTTCAAGTGTTTATGTCTCTTTCTAATACTATTTTTATTAAATCGTTATTATTAGTTGGACAATTGAAATAAAATACGATTTGCATCTTGCTGTATAAACATAGATAAATATCTGTAAAACACAACCAGAAAAACGATCTTGTTACTTTCTATGCTGAGTACTACAGCTGTGCTTTCTCAGCTACAATGTGTCTTCCATAGAGATGGACATGCTTTAACTTTCTAAGAAGAGTGTTTGCTGCATCACTTGACTGCATCTCAACAAAACAGAATCCTCGGTGTGTCCCATCTGCCTTTAAAGGCATTCGAAGTGTATAATCTGTTCCTATAAGACCTGTCAGTAGCTCTGATAGCTCTCCCCGGCCTGCCTGGAATGGTACATTCTTTAGTATAAGCTTAAGCATAAGAGGGTCTTCTTTCTCTTTCTTAAGCTCATTCTCTGCAGATTTTAGTCCTGTGATAGGCGGAAGGCCTGCCATTTCTCTAGCATACCTTTCTTTTGTTACCTTTAGATATTCTATATATATTGGCTGGTCTCTTATTCTGGTAAAGTTGTTTTGTTTAAGCTCTGCCATAGCATCAGACTTATTTCCATATTCTAGAATAATAAGAGTCTTGGATGGAGAGAATACTGCTCTTATGTATTTGGTAAAGTGTTCTCTAATTTCTCCCTCTCTTATTCCGTATGGTACATTCTTAACCAATATGGACTTCTTGGATATAAACATGCAGATGCACGGTTTTTTACTGCAAGTGCACTCTTCAGAGATTCCCTCGTCCTTTAAAAACATGCGGGTTCTTTCAATAAGTTCGCTTTCTAATAGCGCTATTTTACCACCCACACCAATACCTCTGTCTTTAAGAATGTCTCGCTTAGAAACTTTCTTTTCTTTTGATGCAACACCAAGAACTGCAGTAAAGTTAAAGAACACTGGGTTGTATCTTCCATGTGATAGATTGCTCTTGTTTTTATCAGTTGCCTCCTCTACAGGCTTTCCTCTGCTTGGTAGTATTTTAATATGCTTTCCCTGGAATAGAATTGTCTCTCCTAATATTTCACACGCATCCTTAGGAAATGTATATGTAACTATCGCAAAGCCAGTGTTTAGCGTCTGGCCCTCACCCCATGAATCTGTTCTTTCTTTGTACTTCATAAACACCTCTGCCACCATTCCGTATTTACTGAATTCCTGCTCAACCTCCTCTTCTGTTGCAGTGTATGGTATACCATTGACAAATACCTCTCCACTCTCCATTACTTTCTCTTTGTTTTTTGTCTCTGCTGTTTTTCGATACTTCTCAACAATATCCTTGAGTGACTTCTCCTTCTTTTCTTTTTTTCCTTTTCTGGACTTTCATCATCTACCGTCATAGACCACACATTCTCTTTTTTGGCCTGAAGAAGCTTTAGTATTTCTTTCATCTCTCCCACCTCAAGCCCATCAATTACCGCTTTTTGTTGCTTCACTGGGCGGTCTTCTTGCATAGTCCTATTACGAGCCTCCTTGCTCTCGCTTTTCTGCACAACCAACTTGTTTCCATTATAGTATGCCCGGTTATAGTGCACTATACTGGCCTCAGATTCCTCTTCGGTCTTATATCCTATAAATGCAATTCCTCGGCTTTCACCACGCATCGTGCTTAGAAGGCGCACGTCCGTCGGAACCCCCTTTTCAGAAAAATGCTCTTTTATATCCTGCTTTGTTGCAGTTACTGGTAAATTCTTAACTATAATCCGCATTTAAAACTTTTACAAAAATACTTCTATATATTCCTACTTCCATTTCGGTTTATTTATTCTTATTCTCTTATTCAGCTAATCCCATGTTTCCAAACAGAGTGTCTCTTCCTAGAGTGTTCTCTCCGAAATCCTCAATGGATGCAACTGCGCACTTTGCATCTTTTACGATCTTTCCAGTCTCATCAAATTTGCAAATTCCAACGTATCTGGCAAGCTCTACGTGGCTTTCTACCTTCAGAACTGGCACATCATACTGCTTAACCAATCCATCAATGATGTCCTTCATCTTTCTCTCATTGATCTCCTTGGACATAATAACAAGCTTAGATCTTCCTCCTATTAAAGACTTTGTCACCTGTCTAAATCCTTTAACCATACCTCCTACTTTTAAACTCGAGATGCACATGCTTTCAGATGCCTGTGTAGTTGTCATTGCATTCTCTCCCTGTTGTAAGTTCATTTCCATTTCTGTACTGGGGCAGTAAAAATAAATTTTATATAGCTACTTGCCCAATGCAGAAAATACTCCAGTAAAAAAAAGTTCACTCCTTCTTCATCCACTGTGCCTTTTTCTTCTGCTCTTCATCTCTAAACGTGTTAATTGCTATTTTTATGTTTCTTGGCGTCTTTATCTCGCATAAACTCAGTTTTTGGTTGTTAAAAAATATGTTTAGCAGTTTTAACTGCTCAGTCAGTGAATTTGTCACCGTTGATGATCTTCTAAGCAATCGTATAAATACATATCCTTGTAGCATAATTACCCCAATTGTTTTCAAGTATATTTTAAATACAAGTCCTGTCAAATAGATTGAGTCCCTGCTATATACATCCCATAAGATATTGTACATCTTCCTATTAATATATAAAACATATGAACACACCATAATCATTAATACAACAAAGTATATAAACCTTCTTTTTGTTTCATGTATATATTTGTTATTTAACTGTTTTTCAAATATAAGAATGTCTTTAATGGGATTTAATGGTCTATCTACTTTAATTTCTTCCATGGCACAGGATATTCTTGTATAAAAAATTATTCTTATGGAATAAAAGAGTAAAAAGCTTTTATTATATGCGAAATTGGCTTTTTCACTGCGGTGCTTTCAGATTATAATAATATACTATATAGTCTGTGTATATTATTTAATATATAGTATATAAATCGAGCAATAGCAATAATACACTTAGTATCCAGAAGTATATTGATTAATCAATGCATCTTTCTCTTTAAACTTATCAACCACATACTCTGCCTTCTTTATACCTTCTGTGATTCTCTCTGCCTCTATAATTACTTTGAATACTCCAGGCAATCTTTGTGTAACACACTTTATATATGAAGGAGGATTCTGCCTCTTTCCATTTACTAGGTATACCATTGTCACATTAAGGATTGTAGTAAATGGTGGATTTGGCAGTATATTTACACATAAATTATATCCTTTAGTTCTCGGATACAGTACGTTCTGAAGAACTGGTAGAGATTTAGATATTGAAAAGTCTGCTGATTTCTTCTGCTTTTTTTCTGTGTATCTACTTCCTTCTGGATATATAACTAAAGATACTCCATTTTTCTGGTGCTTACACCATTTTTTAATTCTTTCACAGTCTTTTTTCCAGACTCTCTTAACAAATAAATAATCTGACAGATACATTCCCCATCCAATAATAGGAATCCATCTTAATGCACTCTTCCCAACAAACCTACTGTCCTTTCCTAACTGGTTTGATAAAATAGTTAGAATGGCTCCATCAAATGCACATATGTGATTGCTTATTATTAAAATTGAGCTGCTCTTATTGTTTAATTCATTCAGCAGTGCAGGATTCGTGTATATCATTTGAATTGAATTTCTATTTCCTATCTTTATCAGAAACAGACAAACACCTGCCATATGCCGATTGTACAGGTTCATTATATGCACAATTGGCCTTTTATTAATTATTGCAATGGGGAAGGTAACCAGCTGAATAATAAGCAATACTCCGAGTAGAAATATTAAATATAAAGACAACACTGATTTATATGCCGTATATAAATACCCATGCACTTCCATTCTACTATAAAACTAAAAGCAAAGAATAAATTCTTGGATTATTATTAAATGAAAAGTACTTAAGTGTAGAATAAACAATAGAATACAACAAAAAGTAGAAATTTAGAAATTTAAATAAAATAGAAAAATAACGAATACTACACTGCAAGGAAGCATAGAGCATATTTTATTTAAATTTGATTATAATATACAGTGATTTAGGGCATAAATCATTATGTGGTATAACCCGAAACAAAGTCACAAACAATGGAAACTCTATTTGTTTGTGTATGTGATGGCAGAGTATAAAGCCATAACTCAAACAATAACTCTATGTTAGCGCTTAGAGAAAAGAAAGAGATTAATGAACCAACTAAGACAGAAACCGGGTTAATCGAAACCCCCAAGTCTACTGATAGTACTTTAGATGGAAAAGAGACTGATACACCGTGCACCACACCTAGTGATGCATTTATATTAGAAATGCCCGACACAGTTCTGGACTATTCAGAAATAGCATATTCCGGGGAGGATGAGTCTGATGAAGCACCTGCTTCCCGCCCAAAAACCACTTGGGAGGAATACCAGCGAAAGAATGCCAGTTTAATGGAGGAGGCTACTAAAATGTGCACAGCCAATGCGCAGAGTGCACATAATAAATCTCCATTAGAAAGCGCTTATGAAATGGAAGAAAGTGCCCCAGATGAAGAAATTATTGAACTAGATGAGGAGAGTAGAGAGCAAAGTGAAGAATTAGAACTAGAAGATGAAGATTTAGAGGAAATAAAAGAAGCTCCAGAGGTGGATGCGTGCGAAATGGATACTTCATTGGAAGAGGATCAAATTGAAGAAGAAAAAATAGAAGATAATGATATCCCTAATATTTTAGAGCAGTCCAGTGAATTGGTGGATTTATTACACACAGAAGAGACGTGTATACAAAATGAAACCTATGAAGAGCCTTTAGATGCTCCTAAGAATGCCTCTGATAATGAAAGCCTAGTATTTGTTTCTTTAGAAGAAGAGTCCGATGACCTAGTATACTCTCCGGAGCCTATGAATTATGCACCTGCCAGCACTAATTCTACTAATAGCGATGAAGAAGCTCAAGAAAAAAACAAACTGGAAAAACTAGAAAAGGATATTTCTTCAAATACAGAAGACAGTTTATATATTTCAGCCACACAGGATACAAAAGTAGAAACTGAGGATATTTTAGATGTTCATTCCAAAGAATTCAGTAACTCTGAGCAAGCACAGAAGACTCTTAAAACAATAACCACTGGAACACTATCTGCACCTTGTCCAAGGAATGTATTTGAAGAAACCATTAAAGCAGATAAAGAACGATCTAGAAAGCTTCCTCATACTGTGGACATGCCTACATTAGATAAAAATGAACAGTCAGCAGCACAATTATCTGCTACTCTTCCCGAAAAGATAAACACTCAAAGTATACCAGCAGAGAAAACAGAATGTGTTTCTTCTGAGCTTACAAAAACAAAAGAGGGAATACTTACAGTACCAGCCGAAAAAACTTCTCTTTTTGAAAGGCTACTTACAATTGCACAGGCAGCATGTCCTGCTTCCTCTTTTGTTCTTGCAGTTATCTTCCTTGCAGGGATATGGCGTGCGCCTAAACCATATAATTCGGTCTTACTTCTCTGCAGACAGTGAGTCGCTGCTTTCCATATGCATCTCACTAATACCCATTATAATGTCTCTAGGACTATCCACCCGTGCTCTTATTAATGCATTTATAGTAGTACCTGTAGTAAAGAAGGTGGAAAAGAAAGAATCATTTGCAGACATTAAAGTCAAGGGCTTCTACTTAATAGATCTCATGCAAATATCTCTCCTTCTTCCCTTTTCATTTGGTATGGCCAGGCCTTTTGTTTTCGAATTCTTTAAAAAGCCCGAGAGAGGATGGATGCTTGGCAAGCTAGTGTGCGAACTTTTATATGTCTTATTCATTATTTCAGTTGCACAGCATGCATACAGCGCCTGGAATAAGGTCGTTATATCAAAAGACTCTGCATCCTCTGTTGTTCTTACGTGCTTGCCTAGAGTATGGGCATGTGCCTCATCTATTCTTCAAGTGTTCCTCTTTAGGTATATACTAGACACATCGCTGGAAATTGCAATGGACCATAAAAAACTTCTTGATCTAATTTTTGCAACAATTGACAATACATACACTGTGCTAGAAAAAGTATTGCCACATACTGTTCTGCATTAAACAAAGACAAGTTAAAAAGATGCTCCTTTTTGCTAGATAAACACATAATAAACTCATCTTAATATTTACTTTCTTGATTTTATCCTATTCTGAGGCGAGCTAATTTACTATTTCACTCTGGTTTACACTATTATAGAATGCCGGCGGGCCTAATGGGGTTTAGAGATACATTGTATAGATGTTCAAATTAGTCTTTTATGAAAAAAACATCTACCTGAATGCAATTGTATCTAAAATAGACTCTCTCTTAGCGGTTTTATTATCAAATAGATTCCAAAAGTTAAGATTTTCATCTGCCCCACAGGTAGCCAGCACTTCCCCATCTGGTGACATTGCACTGAATAGCACTCTCCCTGTATGTCCATTCATATTTCCTACTTTTCTCATACTACAGTACTTCCACACTGACACAGTATTATCTGAGAAACCATGCGTTGTAATAAGCTCTTTATATCTTTCACTAAAAACAATACTGCACACCTGCGAACCACTGTCTGTGCTATTAAGACATATTCCCTTATCTACATCCCAGGTTCGGATTGTTCTGTCTGATGTACCTCCTCCTGTAGAGAGTATTCCTTTCTTCCATGGGCACCATCCAACCGCCCTAACTGCTGCTGTGTGATCTGTCAGCTTTAGTCTGGGCCTGTCATATCCAGACCTCCACACGCATACATTATTGTCATTGGCACCACTCGCTAGATACACTCCATCTGCATCCCATTTAAGTCCACAGACCTCTTGTGTATGGTGTAAAAAACTTGACACATGCTCTGCACTGCGAATGTCATAATTGAATATGTTCCCATCTCTTCCACCAGTACTAACTATTTTATTGCCCCATGAAATAGAAGCCACCCGCACTCCCCTGCCAGGCAGACTGCAAACCGGTTTTCCTACTACTACATCTAGAACAGAAGCCCTTCCATCTGACATTCCATACGCTAGCAAGCCTTCTTGGGAGAAAGAGACAGATGAGATATGGTGATCATCAGGCGCATCAACAACATGTGAAACTGACTTATTTGAAGCATTCCATAAATACAGCTGCTCACTCAATCCTAGAGATATGAGATTGTCTTTGCTCCAATCCAGCAGATTCAGATAGTAGTCATTTAGAATAGAAGGCGCATCCAACACTCGAAACGGACTAGTAGGAAGAGGCCTTTTACTCATTCTATCTATTCTAGACTCGATTTTCAAAGGACCGCTATACGCGGTTCCTAGGGAAAACCCCAATGTCCGCTTCTTCTGCTCTATCCCATACCGCTCTTTAATATTCTTTCTCTTCTTTATTCTTTCATATCTTGGCTCTATTAATCCCTCAAAGGATATGTCCCACAGATCATCTAGACCAGAATGACCCATTTCTATTTTTACTAAAAATAAACAATTTTATATTGTAGCAGGAATACACAATTCTTATTTTTATGCACTGGGTGTGAATTCATTTTAGAAATAACTGAAAGCCACACAACTACTATAGAAACAGACCAAATTAGTAGCCAGACTGCTATACCAAAGAACCTGAAACAACTCGAAAATGAAATTATTTATATAAGTTTCGCAGCATAGAGAATAGTATAAAAAGAAAAATTCACTGGCTCTACTACATTATTGTGTAACAAATACAATTTAAAATAGAACATTTTTGGTTATATAAATATGTATACTAATATTGCTTAACAGAAATTTATTTAATGCATTGATCCATTGTTCGTATTATAGGTAATCAAAGGGTATTTTACTTATAAGATGTTTATAATTAACACTACAGTTTATATAGGCGCATGTGCTCTATTTTTTAACATCTTTAATTTGGCTTAATCCTAGCCATATGATACAAAATTCAACTATCTTCTTATTTCAAGTCTTTAATTTTTATATGCTTTTCTGTGTAAGAATCTTCTGTAGTGTTTACAATTTCATTTTGTTTGATGATACAAATCGCTTCTTATATTTTTCCACAGAATTATTAACTTCTGCCCACCTGCTTGGATCCAGCGCGGAATTTGGTGACATGCCAATTGTTCTATGTTTAGACTGGTTATATTTCTCAATTACACTCTCTAGCTTTGTGTTTAATGCATCGCTTGTCTTATTTAAAGAATTTCTCAGTGTTGCAATTAAGCACTTTATCCTTCCTGTGTCTTCTTTGTAGTATGCTTTTTTGTAATAAATTGCTATTTTATTTCTAAATGCCCATTCTTTTATTTTAGTATTACTAAATTCTTGGCTTTGTCCAAAAATAATCTTTCGAAAAGGAAATTTCTTAAAAACTTGAATAATCTTTACTAGTATGCTATTTGTGTCCTTTGATTCAAGCTCAAACCCAAATGCCAGTCGGCTATAGTAATCAATCATTATTAATACATACGTGCTCTGGTAAGTCATTAAATCTATTCCCATTATTTCTCCGGGTTCTGTAGTATCAATATATAACTTGCGCTCAAATAACTCAGTGCCTCTTTCTATCCCTGCCTTAGATGCTTCCAGTACTTTTTTTGATTTCTTCATTGCGGTTTCTTTGTCCAGAGTGCGGCAAACTCTGTAAAGAGCCTCTTGCGCTTTTCTGATATTTCCATCCACCAAGCTCCATGTTTCTCTTGCTCTGCTAGGATAAAGAATATGATTGGTTTTAAACTCTAAATTTACTTGGTCATATGTAAATTTATGCATCTGTACATGCCAATTAAATACACTTGCCCATGTAATATACTGTTTATTGCCCATTGGCTTGTAGTCCAACAATTTAGGTGCATCTGCTAGCGTATTCTCTTTGTTTTCTTCTATATACTCTAGCATTCTTTCTATGAATGCTTCCCAGTCCTTCTTGTTCCACTTCTCTCTACTTTTTCCTATTTTAGAAATCTGCACATCAGTCTCTTGCTGTAGTGATAACATAAATGCCCCAGTGCGTCTGTTCATCTCATGGCACCACTCTCTGAGCTTAGCAAAGGCATTAAATGCCATCCACCCACCGTGCATTTTCTCTAGCTCTGACATAGATTTCTCTACAGAGTTTCTTCCCTGTGTAAATACTATTTTCTTCATAACTCCTCGAATAACTGCTTGACACACACCGCAATCTTCTTTACCGTCACAGAGTGTGTGGTAGAAGAGGTCTTTATCCTTTTCTATCTGATTTTGTTTGTATAAGATTGTCATGCTAAATTTGAGTATTCCTTAAATCTTAATTCAATATATAGGTTTGCACTAAATCACATTGATTTGTCTGCGTTTATTGATATTGTATAAACTATCACCCAGATCATATAACCCGAATATACCTATTTGTATATTATATAACTAAATTCATTCATTTATACTAAATTTACTAAATGTATTATTTAATCATTCGAGGTGTAATAATCCATTAGAAAACTTAATTATTTACTCTGTTTAAATTTAAATAAATTTCTAAATTAAATCTATTCATTTTATTTTCTTTACTGAAGAGTTTTATTCTAAAATAATTTAAAAATGCAAAAAATATTAAAACAGAAAGCAATAGAAAATACTAAACAACTCAAACTAAAGCAATAAAATACGAACAAACAGAAGCGCATAAACAATACAGGCAATATACACAACAAAATATAGAAACTATTTTAGTTTTAAACACATTGAATATTATATAAATTTAATTTAAGATTTATATATTACAGAACAATACTGAATGTAAATAGGAGTATTTGTATCTACACGCAGTGAGTAGAAGTATTTCTGGCGTGTAATGCTTTAAACCATATGCATATCTTAGAAATACAAGCATTTAATTGTTTTATTTTTTTATTATTTAATATAGATGATGGAAGAGGTCTTGAGAAGTGTTGACGAGTATTCTGACGAATTAATCTTAGAGCTAATACAAGAAGAAGAAAGCATATCAGAGGTAATTAACATACTATGCGGAGTAATTAAAAGTATAAGTACGGAAGAAATTTCTAGAACAACAGACCAGTTACAAATGCTATACAGGTACTTACTAATGGTGATAAGAGAGCCAGAAGTGTTTGATTTTGTAAACAGTGATATATATAGAACAGTAGAAATATTTTATTTAACTTGTGCGTATTATAAGCTGTCAATGCATTCCATTCTAAATATTAATGAGACTGGTGAGGAAATACTTACTGTGCTATTACATGGTGTGTATAAAAAGCCACAGAGTAAAAGGCCACTGTATAAATATAATACTCTTCAAAGAATTGAAGAGGATTCATTCTATAATCTTGTAGTGCATGAAGATTTACTGAAAAATCCTATGACAAATAAAATATTAGAAAAGGAAAGCATGTGGGGGCTTGAACCAGTATTAAGCGAGAATGAGTGGATATATAATCAGTGCAAGAACAGCACACTGTTTAACACTGATTCCTCGTATATTCTAAATTTATGTCCGGCATACTATACAGGAGAGCAAATAGGGATATACACAATGTATCCAGAGTTTTTTAATAAGACCAAGGAAGATATAAGAAAGGCAAGGCTAATATTGCACAGGGTAATAGACCAGACTAACATCAGATTCTTTAATATTTTCAAAACACTAATAATGGCGAATAAAGATATAAAAAAGAATTTTATATCGTCCATATATAAAATATATGAAGAAAACACAGAAAGAGAAAAAACTCGGTACAAATTAACGGATGCCGAGTCAGATGCAAAGATATTCACTATATCAAATCTGCTGAGCCGGCTTATCCAGCCAATATCGCATGACATTACAAAGATGCGAAGTATTCCTGCAGATGCACTGCAAAAATGCACATATCTGAAAAACACAAGCTTTCCAGTTGCCAGCAGCACACCAAACACACCGCGGCAATACACCCAAATATCCTCACCAAGTAGCATTAACCTACAGAACTGCAGTTCTCCTAAGACAAATAGTACGTTTTTGTCTGAGCTGTTCTATGGAAAGCTACTGTACAATAAGATATCCTATAATCACATATACACCAACTACAATACATATACAGAGGATATTTCTAGGACAGAGCAGACACTATCTGGTACACCGGATGATCATAGAATGAAGTATGTGCTGAGTATTTTAAAATCAGAATTTGAGTACGTTACAGCAATACTAAGCAGTGATGCCATGCAGGTAGAAGGGGTGGTTCTAATGTACATTGTTGCGTTCCTGAATCACATGGCCCAGACTAGTAGGCTAACTGAAGTGCCGGTTTTCATACTGGAGAATACAATTATATCACTGGAGAGGCTTACTCGTATAAAGTTGGAAAGAAAACTTTCTGTAGATGAAATTAAAAAGGTGCACATGCTATGTGTGCACGTTCTAAACCTACGCATTAACGTAAATTATAAACAGGAGGTGGTAAAGCTTATTCTGTCGTACATAAACACAGCAGAATGTGAATATACACCAGGGATTGTTTCGTCAATTATAACGTATTTTATTGATGTACAGGTGGAGATAAGAAACCAGTCAGAGCAGCTGCAGGAAAGAGGCCGAGCCTCTTGTATACTAGACTACCTACTAAACAACTACAAGGGAAAAGAGGAAATGAAAAAGATTTTGGAAGTATCAAATACTGCAGAAGACCACAAAGACACAAAGACTGTTTTCCTACTCCACATGCTTTCTTCATTGTTTGAAATGCAAGAGCGTGGGTTTGAAGAGCTAAGAAAAATACACACGGCAAAGAATAATAATGACACAGCAGATACTATTGAAACTGCAATTGAACATTCTAACTCATATTTTTACATTGTGGATATAATAGACCGCATTATATTTACACTTATAGAAGTATCGCCCAAAGCTTTCTTGTCATCGCTGATACTAAGCAGGCTTGCATCTTTGCTGAATGCGTCTTTAATCACACTAACAAACAAGAAATCCTCGGAGCTAAGGCTAAAAGACCCAAAAAGCACATTTTCTCCAGTGAGTCTACTGGGGAACAGAATTAAAATGTATATAGCCTTAAAAACAATAGCATTTGTGCGGGCAGTGGCAGAGGATGAAGACATGTTTAAGCCAGACTTATTTAACAAAGCAATTGAAATATGCGATAGAAAGGGGGTGCTTACTCAGAGAGACAAAGCATACTCAATTCTATTCATTAAGAGAGTTGCAAATCTGAAGGAACAAAGAATAGTCAGTTCAGTTGCATACCCAGACGAGTTCATCGATCCACTGACTTTTGGGCTAATGAAGGATCCTGTTATACTTAAAACCAGTAATACCCGTGTAGACCGGTCTACAGCAGCAATGATACTAATGACAGATCCAACAGACCCATTTACTAGAGACCCACTCACAGAAGAAGATGTAATAGAAGACAAGGAAATGTATCAAAAGATACAAGACTTCCTATCTAACAATTCTTAGTATATGAATATAAAGAAATAAAGGGAATTTATATAGTGTGAACTATGCATGATTTATTAAAAATAAATATTATTTATGCCTTACATATAGTATATAACAACAAAAATGTATAATAGTTTGTAGTAATACAGCATATACGACTATGGCTTCTCTAGCAAACATCTATTCAAAATAAAAATAGGAGAACAACTCTATATGCATCCAGAAATGCTTTGCATTTGAAGTACTTAAAGATTTAAATTACTAAAACTAGTTAAGAGCAATTCCCGCAACAGACTAGAATATCTTATAAATAACCCGAATAATCCAATGCACTGTATAATTATCGGATATTTTGGAATATTTTAGCATTAAACTATTTTTCTTTCTGGACCAGTACAGAATACTTCTATTTATATAAATAATTTTAGCTAAATTTACACTCGTATGAAGGAGTTAGATGTATTCTTGGATACTCAAGAAAATGCACTGTTATTTCAGTATCCACTCAGTTTAGAGGTACCAAATGTACAGACAGTAAATACAAAATGTGATGACAAATACGTTCAAATATCAACAAGCGAGCCAACTGGAACAGTAAATTATAAAGGAATAAGCGGGGACACAATAAACAAGTACTATATACTAAACATAAAAGAGAGCGAAGTAGTGGGGCTGCAGGTAAAGTCAATAACCCAACTAAGACCGTTTTTACCAGAAACAGAAGAGACTATAAAGCTATCAGAAAAAAAGGAAACCAAAGTATTTGCGCTAAATGAATCCCAGGATGAATTAGAAAACAGAATGAAAAATCCTAATTACATTGTAGAAAAAGTAAACAAAACCCCGTGGGTAGAGTACAAGCTGACAGAGTATAAAGAGTCGCAAGTAGTACAAGAGCCTTCTAGGCCGATATCTACACAAATAGCAAACATCCCGCTAGAAAAGATAAAAGAAACTATTTATAATGCAAGAGTAGTAAACATTCCAGAACTCAAAAACATATATCCAACTAGCCCTATTTCAGATATAAACCAAGCAGTATCAGAGATGACCATTCCCTTTCTAGGCAGATACATATTAAAAATAGAATACTTTAATGACCTATCCACTCTATTAATTAGTATATTAAAGAGAATAGAGGAAGGAAATGGTGTATTTACATTTACAAAAGATGAATTAATAGATCAATCAGAAGAATTTACATATCTTCTTAATCAGATAGCGTATAAACAAGACCATGTGTATGTGTTAAAGGGATATAATGAAAATACAATGTAATAACCTGAAATATATCCCAAATATTACCAAAAATCTGAATAACCCGACATAACCCGAAAATACCAACTAATAAATATACCTAGTCAATAAACAGAATATATGCATATACGGAACAAACCAGACTTATCTCAAAACATTTCGATTTTTACTTTGTTGAAGTGTGCACAGATTCTGCTGTTGCATCCATTGGTTTTAATTTCTGTGTAAATTTATTTTTGAAAATGAAAGAAAGGAGTGAAAGACTAATGGAACTATTTGAATCGTTAGTTGTGGTGGAGAAGAGATTGGACCAGACCATTACACAAAAGAAGATGGCGGTTGAAGAGGCTCATTTTAAAAAGATAAAGAAAATATGCACAGTAAGAATAAACATATCACTTGAAAAGACTTCAGAAAATTCTCTTTTCATTCTAATTGGAGGAAAGGTCAAGGAAGAGCCGCAGCCAGGAGACAGTGCAGAGAGTAATACTGAGACAAAGTCAATTGGTTCTGTAGTGAGTAAATTGTACGTTGAATTATCAGAAAATTCTGAATCTAGTCTAAGTGGAAGCAGTAATAGTGGTATACAAGAAGCGCATAGAGATGATTCTTCTGGCGCATTAAGCAAAAGAGTAAAAATGACAACAAATGATCGAAGTGAGACATTTTTTGAGTGGCACAACAGAGCTCCGCCCTCTGATGTATCTGAGTTTGAAATAAAAACAACTGCCAAGTCATCGCACGGCAGGTTATTTATTAGCTTTATTAGCTATACTGGTATTTTTGAGCTATGTGATGATTTAGCGCAGCCAATTGGAATTAAAAAAGGGACGAAACCAGCAATTCTTCTAGGTATTTGGAAGTACATTACAGCGCAGAAGATGAGAGATCCGGCTAGGCCCAAAATAATAGTATGCAATGATATATTCAAGCAAATATTCCAAAAGGACGAGATGATCTTTACAGAAATAATCCAAGGGTTAAACCAACTGTTATCCCCCATTGATATGATTAGTTTCGACTTTCCCATTCCAACCCAGCCTGGAAGTAAGTCACAGTGTTCATATGACATAACCGCTGAGCTGGATCCAATCACCAGAGAATACGCATATGCGAATAACAACAAGATATCCATCCTAAACAAAAAAATAGAAGACATCCAGCTGAGAATAGAAAAGCAGAATGAGAAAATTGATGGATTAAGAAGATTCACTGAAAGCCCAAAGGAATACATAACCAACTGGATTTTAGACAGTTCAAAAGATCTTCACTTAATTGCAGACGACTTATTTGATGTAAATGACGGATTCTATGCTCAGAAAGAGATACAGGAGAGTGTTTACCAGCTCCTTCAGAACTATAAATAAGCCAGGGAGCAAATAATCAGCATACGTCACAATAAACAGACTGTGCATATATCACAGTGTGACCTAAAATGCATCAGCATAAATTATAGGCAGCCACACCCACATTCCCATATAAGTGTATACCGAATCAGATATAGCCCAATAACCTGATATCTAAATTGAGTAATAAACATCTACTACTATTTTTAAATAAAATCTTCTTTATATATATCTTTAGAGGGTGATTAATTTGATGACCCGAATTTCAAAAAAATAAAGATTTAATTTTCTATAAAAAATCCGCAAAAAAATGCGTAATTTCGGGTTATATCTGGTGTGATGCTTTATTACACATTGTATCTTGTGCAATAGTTCTATTTATAAATTCAAGTATTATTTGAGATATTTCGGGTTGTCATTATAAATTCGGGTTATTCTAAAGAGCTTCTTTATTTTAATAGACCAATTATATTCTTTCAAATTGGAACTCAGCCTGGTTATCCTCTGCCTCCTGCTTAAAGTTCTCTGGAATCAGGTTATTCTCTCTGAGTATTTTTATCTCAGATGGGAAATACTTTTTACAGATGTAACCAGTGTCTTTTTGGTCATCTGCGAGTGATACCAAGACAATGTCGTTCTGCTGCACCCAGACAGACTTGTGCATACTTCCTCTGAGAACGCACTTTCTAGTTATTGCGTCAATGCACAGCACATCAAATCGGGAAGACCCCAACGCACAGATTACCTGCCCATAAATGGTTTTTTCGGCTTCATCCATGAACACCATTGGTTGATTCGAACTGTTCTTCTTTTTGCATCCTTTTCTTTTTCCCTTCATATTCTGTAAAATTTCTTTTGCACATTAAATGAAAAAGAGTACAGTAGGAAAGGACTTCCTTATTGAGCAGGTTTGGCTATGGAGCAGCGCAGTTTTTATGTGTGTTTACAGCATGCTAGTTGTAAAGGCAATAACTGGTCTGGGCATTAACAAAAGGGTACTTCACATTGTATCATGCTTATCTCTTATAGTTACGTACAGCTCCTGCATATTCTTTAAGAGTTCTGCAATAAACATCCAGAAGCTATTGAGAGATGGCAATTTTAGATGCTTATTAGTCGCATGCTCACTTCTTAGTGTGCGAAGCATGGTTATTCCTATGCTGCCGTTTTTACTAATGACCACCCTCTCTGTAGCAGGATATGTCATTAAGAACAAAAACAAATTTGAAAAGACTCAGATCATAGGAGTAGCACAAAATCTCATTTGCCAGAAAGACAGAGTAAACCTGTTGGCTCTGAAGATTGAAGCCCTCTCTCTTCCATTAATATTAGTACATTTAATATTTGGAACAGCAGATTTATTTGTATTTGTTAGTTATGCTAGTATGGTGTGGTATGAGTACACTACTAATCCGCGAATGAAAAGCGCAGTGTATGAAATAATTGAAGTAGTAGATAGATTAGTTGGATCATCAAATGTACCAAACTCTGTTAGGGATAGATATATATCTCTAAAGAACTATGTTAAGACAAGAATACCAGTAAATGAGGGTGCACATGGTTCTGTTCATGCGAAACCATCACATATACATGGTAATTAGCAAAATAAATAGCTCTTAGTTATTCGTATCTAGATAAATTTAATTCGCTGCATTTACATATGACTGAGTAAAAGCATTAAAAACTCAGGTCATACAGTATTGTTAGTGTATCAAGAAATACCAAAAAGAATAGAATATGGATTTACCTATATTAGCCAGTTTCTATTTTTATTTCAGTTATAATATGAGAGTTTATTTAAGCCCCAAACACTATAACTGTACAATAATGGAAATGAATTGAGTAGAACTGGAATAATTAAACACAATATTAAACAGTTGCATAAATTTATTATACTTTTGTTTTTATATGATGCGCTATAATTAGACTAAAGAGTACTCTATGCCAGCAGCAGACTCATTAAACACGCCAGTGCTGGTGCATTCAATCTCAACTCCAATTAGCTTTTTCATTGTTTCTTGGTGCATGGCTAAGTCTTCAGTTATTTTAGATAGCTTTATCACAACCTTGATTATAGTGGTTTGTGTGGCTATTTTAGACCGAGCATCCTTAATGAACTCTATGATAGACTCAATCCGTTGTAAATCTTCACTGCCCTCATCTATATCAGCGCTTGCTGCTGGGTAGTCTTCAACAGTAATGGAGTCCATCCATGTGTATCCTTCTATCTCCCAGGTGCTCTTCATTGCTTGATATATCTCTTCTGTTAAAAAGGGGAAGAGTGGGTGTATAAGCTTAATAAAGTTAAGAGAGACTGTTCGCAGAGTGTTAATACCAGATATATCCTTTCTGCCCTTAAACAGCTCTAAGTAGAAGTCACAGAACTCATAGACCATAAACTGGTGCACATCTACTGCGGCTTTCATGAAGTTAGAGGACTCTAAAGAGCCATTTACACTAGCAATGGCCTTGTTAAATCTGCTTTCAATCCAGCGGTCTGTGATATCCTCAAATGATCCCTTTTTAACCTTTTCATTGCCTTCTCCTGGCTTCTGTGAAAGTGCGAACTTCATTCCATTCCATATCTTGTTACAGAATCGCCTGCAGCTTAGAACTTTATCAATGCTTAGGTTTACATCCCGCCCTAGAGAAGCACTGGAAAGAAGCGCATATCGCAGAGCATCACTTCCACATGCTTCAATTCCTGCTGGATACTCCTGTGTTATACTGTCCGTTGCCTTTTCCACCTCATTCTGGGACAGATTCCCTGTCTTCAGCTTGGACAGAAGGTTTTCTAGAGTGGTGCCGGATATAACATCAACTGGGTCAATGACATTCCCTTTACTCTTACTCATTTTCTCTCCCTTTGCATCTCTTACTATGCTGTGGAATAGAACCATCTTGAATGGACATTTTCCTGTTAGGGCAATTCCCATCATCACCATTCTGGCCACCCAGAAGAAAATAATATCTTTTCCTGTTTCTAAAAGAGATGTTGGGTAGAAGGTCTTCAGGTCTTCGGTTTCATTTGGCCATCCAAGGGTAGAGAACGGCCACAGCCCAGAGGAGAACCATGTGTCGAGAACATCTTCTTCCTGCTCAACCGGCCCGCCTGCCTGCTTCTCTGCCTCCTCTTTACTTCTTGCAATGTACCACTTTCCATCCTTAGCATACGCGGGTATTCTGTGCCCCCACCACAGCTGACGGGAAAGGCACCAGTCTTTAATGTTCAGGAGCCATCCCTCCCATGTCTTGTTCATCTCCTCTGGAACAATCTTCAACTCTCCAGACTGCGAGGCTTCAAGCGCCTTCTTTGCAAGCTTCTGGCAGTTCATCCACCACTGTGGTGTAAGCCTAGGCTCTATCACCTCCCCTGTTCTTGAGCAAATTGGAAGGTTTGAAGAGTGGCCCTCTTCTTTCACCAAAACTCCCAATTCTCTGAGAAGTTTTACAGTCTCTTCCCTTGCATCAAATCTAAGAAGTCCTTTAAACGGCCCAACTGTCATTCTGTTGTTAATGTCTAAAATAGATATCATCTCAAGATTGTGTTTTTCTCCTACCTCGAAGTCAACGTGATCATGGGCAGGTGTTATTTTTAGCACACCGGTTCCAAAAGACATATCAGCTGCCTCATCAAATACAAACTGCATCTTCTTCTGTGTAAGTGGATTGATAGGCGAGCTGCCCTTAAATTTGGCATACCGGCTGTCATTTGGATTAGCACACAGTGCTACATCGCCAAAAATAGTCTCAGGCCTTGTTGTTTGTACATGGATTGTTTCCATCTTTCCATCAACCTCCACACTGTACTTAATTGTAAATATTCTCCCAGCAACATACTCCTTCCCGTCAGTGAATATTTTTCCATATGGTTCAACCATCTTGTAGTCCACCTCTAGGTCACTTAAGCTGGTTTGTATTTTTGCACACCAGTTGGACAGCCTATTTCCTCGATAAATCAAACCCTCTTCATAGAATCTAACAAAGGCTTCTGTTACTGCTAGAGAAACATCTGCATCCATTGTAAACTTCTCTCTAGTAAAGTCCAGACTAGTGCCCAGCGACTTAAACTGCTCTGAGATACGGCTGCCATACTGGTTCTTCCACTCCCATACTTTTTCTAAAAATGCCTCTCTAGTCATGTCTTTCCTGTACATCCCCTGCTTCTCAAGCGACTTCTCTACAACCACCTGTGTTGCTATTCCTGCGTGATCAGTTCCAGGAAGGTAGAGAGTCTTGTACCCCTGCATTCTCTTCCACCTAACAAGTGTATCTTCAATTGAGGCCATCATAGCGTGCCCTAAGTGAAGAGATCCTGTCACATTTGGAGGAGGTAACACTATACTAAACATCTTTCCATTACATGCCTTGGTTTTGTATTCTGGAGTGAAAAATCCTTCTTTGTTCCACCATGAAAACCATCCATTCTCCACGGTCTTTGGGTTGAACTGGCCATTAAGCTTTGTAACAGTCTTTTTTTCTCCTTCCGGTATAAACTCTCCCTCTTCAAATTCCAGTTTCTTTTTTTCTTTTTGATTTTCCTTCTTTGGCATATTCTTCTGAATCTCCATTTTTGCTCATGAACTTTGCTAGTTTGCTCATCTTTTTCTCTAGCTTTGCTCTCTTTCTCTCATCTGTTTCAACAGAAAGTGCTGCCTTTAATTCTTCCATTTATTTTTCTATTTTTATTTTTCTATTTATATTATGATGGCCGATTTAGCTGCTACTCTATACTCCCGGACAGAACTGCTTCACAGCACGTCCAGCTCTGTCTATTGGCTAGTTATCTTAGACTACTTCCAAATCAAGAGTTTCTGGGTTTTATTATGCGGATTGTCTATAATTCACTATATAATCACAATTTCATCTACTCCTGTTTTTGGTCAGGTTTTATGTGCTGCCTCAGTTACTCTTTTCTTCTTGAAAGCTAGAAAAGAAAAGACGTTCCAGGCAAATAAAATAGACACAGAAACGCCGCAGCTAGTGATTAATGGGCTGAGATACATTGTGTGCAGTTTAGTTTGCATTTCCATATTTGCATGTGATTTTTCTATATACCCACTGCACAAGTACAAGAGCAAGTACTTTGGAATATCATTAATGGACTTTGGTGTTGTGGCTTTTATGGTCAATGCAGGGATTCTTTCCTCTCTTTCCCACAGGTTTAGGCTGAAAAAATCGCTTTATATGATTTGTATGGGGTTAGTTCGACTATGTGTTATTCTTTCAGGGTATCACGCAGACCCAACTGAGTACGGCCTGCATCTTAACTTCTACTTCGTGTATCTTCTCTCAGAGAATGTCAGTCTAATATTCAAGCATGTAAATCCAATGATAGCTAGTGGTTTAATACTTGCACTGCATGAAATGGCCATTTCAAGAAAGTCTGTAGTTGAGTATGTATTTTTTGGCGCAAGAGACAACCTTCTCAGTGCAAATAAAGAAGGACTTATTTCCATCATGCCGTACACTGCAGTTTTGCTTCTAGGGAAGGGTGTAGGGAATATCTTACTGAAGAAGAACCAAACGAATCTAAGCAAGCTTTTAAAGCTAGTGGCGGTCTACACTTCGCTGCATATAATCCATTTGTTGTTCATTCCAGTGTTAGAGCCATCAAGAAGGCTCTGCTCCATTTCTTTTATTTCTTTCTGCTGTGCTGCAATTGTATTTCCCATGTGTTTGTTATACGGCCTGGCATGTGTCTACACAGTAAGCAGTATTGAGTTTATTTCTGGACTGAGCCGGCTGATGAATCCGTTGTTTTTACTGTCTAATCTATACGTGCTAATTGGCAACCTCATATTTGACTGGCAAAAGTATTCGCGCATGCAATCTCATATGTGCAACATTGTTTATCTATTTTTAACCTTTGGTCTTCCTGTATATCTGTATAAAAAGCACACAACATTGGTTGAAAAGAAGAAGGTAAAATAAAATTGATTTTTAAAAATCTCCACTATTTTATACGTGCTAAACACATTTTAAATTTTCTATTATTTCTTGTTCAGTATATGCACTAAGTATACTGTTTTGGAGTATTTCATCTAATTTCGGGTTATTTAGTTAGTTATGTATACATAAATCATACTTCTACACTATACTAGCAAACTATTATGAGCAACTTTAGCCCATCCGCGGGGTTCTTTACGATTATGCTATCTATTTTACTAAGGTATTCTTCAGATATTTTTTGATTGGATTATAATACTACTTCTAATGTATTTATAAAAAGACAAGTGCCGAATTTACGTATACAAATAATAAAGAATATTATAATCGGAAATGCCCCAAAATTTATTCTAATAATGTAGATATATCTATAGGCTGTGTTAGAATGGCAACTACACCGCCTCTTCCTTTAATCTTATCCCCTTCACTTGTATACTGTGAAATTATATTTACTTCTGCATTAGTCTGCTTGGAAAGTTTAATTATTTCTTCTGCCGCCATTCTTTCCTTTGGTATCTCTGATTTTATTAGGCCGTCGGATATAATTATTGTTTTAGTTATGTAATTCTCACAAGCACACATTACCTCTTTAAGTCCGACTGCAATGCCTTTTGTGCCTGTATCCTCCAGTCTGTAGTAATTATTCAGTGCAAGAAGCTCATTTCCCTTCTTAATGCCTTTTAACTTTCTGAGCAGATCTGGGGTTTTAAATATCGCATCTATTTCTTCCGTGTCACCTTTGTGTGTGTTGCTTGTTGCCACTTGCTTTTTAATAAAAACAACAAGGTTCTTTAGCTGTGGCTGCTGGCGGAAGTAGTCATCTACTTCTTTATCTGGGCCTATAATAGCAAACACGGTTAAGTTGCTCTTTAAATAGCTTAGAATTTGCTTGAACAGCTTGTCCTTTGACTTTACTTTGTCTGGGAGAGGTACACGCCGCAATGTATACTCTGTTGCTAGAAGTAATGAGTACCCATCTTTTCTGCATATAAAATATCCCATGCTTGCTTTGTTTTCTAGTGTAAGACTCTCCAGCATTTTTATAGAGGCCGCAGAGAGATGGTCCTTCTTAAGAGACATTCTTTGGTTCACAGATATTTCTAGAGTGTGGAATGTCCCTGTCTTGGTGTACTCTGTTTCATTTAGAATCTTTCCCTTGATAAATAATATACCCACTGCTAAGTCTACTGTTACCGCCTCTACTTCTACCTCCAGCAGAAGAGTAACTCTTATTTTCGATTTCCCCCCTTCTCCAGGAATACTTCTCTGCGTTACTGTCTTTACTGTGTCTTTTGCATCAATTATCCGGTACAGCTCATATATATCATCAATATCCTCTGGAAATACATCTAAGAAAACATTGTACTTTGTCTGGGTCTTTTTAAATATTTTCATTCTCTGTTATTGTGTATAACTATTTATGTATATTTGGGGTATTCTCTATGCACTGTGCTTGGCTGTAAAAGAGACCGTGCAGAAGGAGAGCGCATGCATTTTCATTCTGTGCAGAAACAGCGACATATCTGGGCTCAAGCCAACAATAACGAAATTCGAAAAATACTTTAACAAAAAATACCAGTACCCATATGTTCTAGTGAATGACGTCCCGTTCACTGAAGACTTTAAAAAAGAATTTACATCACTCACAGGAAACACAGTGGAATTTGGAATAATTCCCACTGAGCAATGGAGCTATCCCGTCTGGATCGATAAGAAGAAGGCCAAGGAAAGAAGAGATAAAATGCAAAAAGACAATGTGTTGTATGGCGGGAGTGAATCGTATAGACACATGTGCAGATACTTTTCTGGGTTCTTTTTTAACCACCCACTCACTGCAAAGTATCAGTACTACTGGAGAGTAGAGCCAGACACGTCCCTTCACTGTCCAATAGAGTATGACGTGTTTGAGTACATGCGCATAAACAAAAAGAAGTACGGATTTACAATAGCACTCTATGAGTACCCACAGACAGTGGCTTCTTTATGGAAAACTGTTCAGCAGTTTATTTCCTCATACAATACATTTTATAAGCCTGGTGACTACTGGACAATAATAGAGCCAATTAACCTACACAGGTTCATCACAGATGAAATGTATACGCAATACAATATGTGCCACTTTTGGTCTAACTTTGAAATAGCAGACTTTTCCTTCTTCAGAAGCAAGAAATACAGAATGTTCTTTAACTACCTAGACAGATCAGGCGGATTTTTCTATGAGAGGTGGGGAGATGCTCCTGTCCATTCAATCGCAGCCTCTATATTCTTAAATAGCAAAGAAGTCCACTACTTTGAAGACATTGGGTATACTCACCCGCCATTTACACACTGCCCACATCCTTCCCTTCAAAAATCTGCCTGTGACTGCAATGCTTTTACTTCAGTGTCCATTACTATGCCTCAGTGTATAAGTCTGTATAAAAAAGTAAGTAAACTAACAAGTAATCAATAATACCAAGAGTGCATATATGCTTTATATACACTCAGATATACACTCTTATATTCTTGTTCTGTTAAACTGAATTTGTACTAATCGTATAATAAAGCATACTGTTCTTATAATAACTATTATCTTAAATAACCCAAATTAACATTTAAATATTTCCATTCTTTTCTCATCTCTCTATTCCTACTTCTTTCTTTCTATTTTTTATTCTTTCTGTGTTAATTATTTATTTCTTGTATTGGAATATTTATAGAATGTAATCTTTTATTTTTTTGTATTTCATCTGGAATAATTTAATGAATATTTAACCCGAATATAATTAAATACTGATATAAATGAACTATTTATTAGTAACTTATCGTATATTATTATAGGCTTAAATATCTTGAATATTTAAATTCTAGCCAGAGGATAATTTCTGTGCTCTTAGTAAGGAAGTACAACATAAATTTATAGATGTCTGGGATTCCGGTGTTATTTATTCTCATTTGAGTATTTCCTAACTATTCTATCAATGCTATCCCTGCGCTCTGTTCTTTCTGCTTTCTCAAGTCTTTTAAAGCACTCTACAAGGGACGTGTACGGTGTATTATTATCTCTGACCTCTACAGAATTATCAAATAGCTTTATATTTCCTGTCTTGAGCCCATTAATAACCGACCGTCTGGTTCTTTTCACAGGAGTCAAAAATATTGTGCTTTTCTCTTTCTTTGGTGTAAGAATATTAATGAACTTATCCTGCTCTGCGTACTTTCTTTTCATTTTATTTCTGTTCGGTGATGCATTGTCTGTTGTATTAAATACTGTGCTGTGGTCTGCGCCGTTCTTGCTTTTATCTGGCTCTGGAGCAGTGCTTACCACAGAGGCCTCAATCTGGTTGTCTGTGTCCACTCGTCTGTGCTTTTCACTGTTCTCCTGCTCGCATAGGTTCTTTTCTAGAGACAAGTTTTTTTGGTGTGAATCCTCGCACTGCCTGGGAATTTCTTTAGGAATCTTTTCATCTGATGCTGGGTATACTCTGTGCACATCTTTTCCTGGGAATGGATGCTCTCCCAGTGGCTCCACTTTTTCTACTGTAGGCGTGGGAAGGTCCTGTTCTTTGCTCTCTAAAAGTATATATGAGCTGTCCAACTCTGTGTCCATAAAAAATTTAGAATAAAATGAAACTAAGTTGCTTTATTTCTTAGCGGTCTTCTTACCAGTTGCGAAGTACTCTGGTACTCTTGTCTCAGTGGCGGCCTTATCCAAGACTTCGTGGATGATACCTACACCAATGGTCTTACCCATGTCTCTAAGAGCGAATCTTCCAAGGAATGGGAACTCAGAGAACTTCTCCATAACAGTTGGCTTGGATGGGACAATGATAACTCTGGCGCATGGTCTAGTTCCAGAGATCTCAGTTGGCTTGTCGTTTGTTACTACAAACTCCTTTCCTTTCTTGCTTCCAATGTCACAGAGCTTGGCGAAGATAGTGCTGACGTGGGTGGCAGCAATGTCCATAGTAGGAGCATATCCAGCCTTGATGCACTTGACCTTTCCAATGAAAATGACTGTAGCGTATGCTGCGAATCCTTTAATGCATGGGTTGGCTGCATCTGCGATGACTGCACCCTGCTTGATCTTATCAGTGTCCTGGTTAGTCTTTAGTGTGATACCACAGTTTTCTCCAGCCTCAACCTTCTTTCTGGCGGTCTTGTGGATTTCCATGGTCTTGACTTCAGTGGCTACTCCTGCTGGGGCGATGTTTACCTTCATACCAGCTAAGCATGTTCCAGACTCAACTCTTCCGGTGTATACTCTACCAATACCCTTGATCTCAAGAATGTTTGTCAGAGGAATTCTGAGTGGAGCCTCGGTCATTCTCTTTGGAATTGGGTAGTAGTCAATAGCCTCTTCTAATGATCTGATTGGGGTTGCGTCTGGGGTCTCTTCTGGAGTCCATCCCTTGAACCAGTCAAACTTCTCACCCTCGGCGGTTAAACCGTATCCCTTGAATCCGGAGATAGCAATGATTGGGGTGGTCTTCATGTTGTACATCTTCTTCATTCTTCCTTTGATGTTTTCGCTGATTTCTTCAAATCTAGCCTTTGCCTCTGCGTCAGATCCAAGAGTATCTAACTTGTTGATGGCAACGATGGCCTTGGATACACCAAGAGTGTGTGCAAGAACGATGTGCTCATATAAAGTACTGGTGTCTGCAATGGCTCTCTCGAACTCACCCTGTGCAGCTGGCACAATAATGACAGCGACATCTGCCTGGGCAGTTCCGGTGATCATGTTCTTAAGGAATCCTCTGTGCCCTGGGCAGTCAAGGATGTTTACAGTGTGCTTTGCTGTCTTCACAACCTTCATTGATACCTGAATGGTAATACCAGACTCTCTCTCTGCCTTGTTGTTATCACAGAAGAAAGCGTAACTGAAGGATCCTTTTCCGTGCTCCTTTGCTACTTCTTCCAACTTGTCAAGTGTTCTCTTGTCAATTACTCCTAGCTTGTAACACAAGTGTCCAATGGTAGTACTCTTACCACTGTCTACGTGTCCAAGGAAGCATACATTTATATATTGTTCTTTCTGCTCAGTCATTACATGGTATAAAATTTTTTACATTTTATTCTTTATTTTTTTTCGTAATTAAAGTAACTGTTTAATTACTAATTAAAAAAGCTCTTTCCCGGGTATTATAATAATTAGATACTTAGTATAACCCGAACTAACCTAAAATATTCTATCGTACAGACATGTCATACACTATACAGAATGAATAAGAATTCTGCTGCAGACATTCACCCTGCGCTGTAAGTATCCTTTAAAATCAATTACTCATTCTATTAAGCATTAACATACAAAACTTAACACACATTGTATAATAAAATATATTCAGCCCAGTTTTTTTGCTACTATATATAATAAGTCATAATATATTACACATATGGTAATTATTAATTTATTTATTACACATTGAATATTAAATTAACCACCATGCACAATAATAATTTAATACACAATGTGTAATAAAATCCAAAACTTATTACTTTTTATGCAATGTGCATTAAATAGTATCTTTATATTATTTATGATAATTTGTAGAAGTTGTCTAAATTTGAAATAATGCAGTAAATGGGTATGTGCGCTGTGTTTATTGAGACTTTTTAGTGCGCACTAATTATTTCGGACTATGTTGTAATGTTCTGTTAGGTGCATTAATTTATTCCGGGTGCTTTTATTTTTTATTTTTGTTTAGCTGCTAAGTTAATAATGACTCTGTCTGTAGGCTATGCCATATCAAGCGAATCTTATGCCCTGTGTAAGATAGATAAATCAGCAGTGATAAATAACAAGATTATACTGCGAGATGGAATAGTAGATGCCGACTCTGATTATTTGGTAATTTCCTGTAGGGAGTGGGATAGTCTAATCAGTGTACATTCGTATGATGAAGAAGTGCCTTTTGGGACTATACACATCAATCTAACAGTAAATACAAATGAAATTGTAAAGAAGTTTACAGTGCCGGCAGACCAGGTTCTATTTGATGTAATTAAGATAGTGCTGTATACAGAGAAGATGTCGCGAGATGAGTTTACCAATAGGTTTAGATATGAAATAACCCCGAATCTAGGTCTAGATGAGAAATTAGTGCGGGGTGAAGCTGAGGATGTATGCATAGAAATATTTGAGGTTAGTAGAGAGAATGTGCCAGAAAAGGAAGAGTGCAAGCCAGTTGAATTTAGAAATGTAGGTCTTACCTGCTACATGAACACTGCTCTGCAGGTCCTGCTGGGCGTGGGTGAACTATCAAGCGCAATTGAAGAAATGAGCAGAGATGAGATATGCAAGTATTCAGAAAGAAAGGACAGTAAGAAGGGATACAACAGAAAAAAGTGTGGTGACCTTTTAAATGCGTATAGAGAACTAATCAGAACAGTTAGAAAAAAGGGGGACTGTGCAGGGAAATTGAGAGAGATCAAAAGAGCAATAGGCGCCATTGACAATCGATACAGAGGGTGTACAGAAGAAGATGCTGGCGAGGTTTTTTCGCTGATACTAACGAATTTTAACTACCTGTTTGAAAAAACAAAGTATGCAAAATTAATACCCGATCTGTTTATGTACTCTGCAGAGAGCGTGCGTATATTTAAAGAGGGAGAAGAGGTGGTGAGCAAAAAAGTCAAGCCGCTTTACAAATCGTTTGTGCTGAACGGATCTTTCGGGTCTGAAGGTGGACCGCATTCACACGTGCTTGTAATACACAAGAATCAGCTGATTGTGACTGGGCTGTGCATACACTCAGAAAGAGATACCATTGGAAATATTAAGAAAAAGATTTCAAATAGCTTCCACGTGGAGACAAGCAAAATAGTAAGCATACTTATATCTAACGGGAAGGTAGGAAAAGTAGCAGATGAGGACCTGCTGGCCTGCAAGCGAAACCTTCTGGAGCAGCCTATTTTCTACATAACAGATGAGGAAATAGAGTCGATTGAATTTTTGTTTATAAGCTACACCCCGATTGCAGAGGGCCTTGCCTTCTTTACCTCACTGTTCAGCGGACTAAAAAACGTATTTCAGATACCTTTTCTTGTAAGAAAAAAGTGCAATATAGCGCAGTTTTTGGAGAGCCATTTGCGTATAAAGCGGCGAGATGTGCCAAACACAGTGCTTGACATACAGCAAAACATTGAAAGCACAGAAAAACACTTTGGATCGATGGTTGTTGTTCTTTCTAATAAGTACTGGGATGCAACTGCCCATATTGACATTATTAAGAACAGAAAGTATGAAGTGAAAGAGTGTGTGCATGTTCAATGTGTAGTGAGCAACTGGGAGAACTTAACAGTTAGAGAAAGAACGCCTGAAGATACAGAGAAGTTTTCTTTTGATGCGGTAGAAGAGTCTACTAAATTTAGAAGGTTTTCAAAGTACTTTTGCGTGCAACTTCCAGTTGGTCTGGGAAGGCCATTTAAAGGCGACAAGTCAGACAGGCAAAAACTCTTTGTAGAGAAAGATGGCTTGGTTTTAGATGGCGCAGTGTACTCTCTCGTGGGAATACTCGTTCACCATAGCTTCGGAATTGGCGGGCATTATGTGGCATTCACAAAAAGAAATAATACGTGGTACCACTGCAATGACAGCACAATCACTAAGTCTTCTGTAAATGAGGCAATATCCACAGGCTATCCATACGGAATATTATACAAAAGATCTGATCTATGTACGCAGTGAATGATTTGGGGTTTTGCTGGCGTATTTATATCGTGCAGATGAATATACCGTATGTCTTAATTGAAATGTGAATCCCCTTCACAGTGCTAATGAACTACTTCTATTTAATCTATAATAGAAATGATTTATGGCACATAAATGCCTATTGTGTTTAGTTAATTGAGTCTCTTCAAATGCACGCCTGTTGTTTATACTGGGCTGCTTTTATACTGTGATAAAGCTGATTTTACTGCTTCAGAGTGATTTACATAATAAAATATACTTTTTCTAGAATTAAAAATGGGTTTTGTGTTTTTATAAAAACCCGTCCTGAATGTTTAGGTTCTATGTACATTTTGTAAAAAGAAGATATTTCATAATTAACAAGACACACAAAAATTGGGTTTAGATTGCTATACTATACAGATTATCTGTATCCATCATATGCTCCTTCTATCTATTTCTGCATACATGTTACATGTGATAAGTTTATTCTGTGGGCATGCAGCTGTTTTATGGTTGAAGTTTAAAATCTGTATTTGTATTCTTTCTATAATTGTAGTTGTTTAGTCTATTTTCTTTTTAGAGTTTATTTTGTTTTTATTATAATATCCCTTCCTTTATAAATAATAATAGTTATTGGCAAGAATAATATATATGCCAGCGATCTTTATATTCTTTAATTAGTGTGGCTCTAGAAATTATCTATCACAATGCACGCTGCAATAGAGATAGCTCATATGAAAAGTCTCTGAACATATTTAATCTTTCAGATGGAAATTGCTCACTTCCTAATATGCACTGCATTTGGGCCATGGAACTATCTATACGCGCTTTTAGGCATACTTTACACCTTGCTCTGTACACAAGTGCATGAAGTGCATATTCGTATGAACTGTTTGGCATGTACTTATTTACTACGTAGTCTCTAATGTACTCATCTTCACTACCTAAGATATTGAGTATTTCACTTTCTAGTTTCATACACCCACTGTCTATGCCAGCACATTTTTTCCCTGTGTTATATACTCCGACAGCATTTTCATCTTCATTAGAGACAAGCATTGCTAAAATGTTTTCTACATCCCTGGGTATCACAGTATGAGCACTGATTATAATATCATTTGCTGGCTCTGTTGTTTTATGTAGAATTTGGTCTATCTTTTTGCATGTTCTTTTACAGGAAGAAGTAGCTCTTATTTTGGACAGCAGGCCTCTTTCTCTCTCGTCAATTAGATTTATGCGCAGGAAGAAGACTATGCATGAAAAAATTCCATTTTTATCATTTTGTGCAGTAAAGTATTCTAAGCAGTCACACAGTACCTTCTTGGAGGTGCTGTTAACAGATATTTTTGAATACCTTGCATCTTCTAGGGTGTTTAATGTTTCTTTGCACATTTTTTTAATTAGCGTGGTGTATAGCATTAGCGATGTGTTTCTTACTTTCCAGTTGCTGTGGGAAATAAGCATAGCAGAAAGCAGAAATAGGGATGGCTCATACACTCTCATGTCGTATTTGAATATCCCATCACTTGATATACTTTTAAGCACGTTGAGATAGTGTATTAGATACTTTTCATTTTCTATTTTTGGCTCCACACTAGACACATCTTTTTCCATCTGCAGCTGGGATATACCACAATCAGAAGAAAATGTGAGTTCAAAATTGTCACGCACCGGCTTAAATACAAATCTATTTTCAATTAGCATAAACGATCTCTGCAGTGCCTCTTTCATAACATAGTGTGTGGCTATTTTGCTCTTTGAATTCCCTTCTGATGCACTAAGTGCCTTAAAGGCATATGGAATTCCTCCATCCCTTCTAATGTTTTTTAGGTCTTTGGTTGTGATTAGATTCATTAAATCTTTCGCATAGTTCAAAGTTGTTTCTGGGGCATCACAGAACAAAAGAATTGACTTTATCACATCAGATGCTATCATAATAACTCCCAAATGCCCTCCAACAGTCAGTAGTGCATCAGTTAAAATGTCCAAACACTGCACATCATTAGTTGTTATAGCATGCACTGCAATAAACATAATGCACTCTCTAATGGTGTACCAGCTCAGTAAATAGCTAGTAGTTTCTTCATCCCTTTCCTTGCTTGTATGTAACACCTCGGTGTGCTCTGAGAGATATATCTCACGGGTCTGCAGAATCTTCAAGGATTTTCTAAATAGAGGAAGAATAAACTCATTGTATATATCGCTTATATCGTATGCAAGATCTATTTTATATGTTTCTAGAATGTTTAGACCCGGCATACCAAATGACTTTCTTTTTTTGTTTCCACTATGTGTGCTGGATTTATTCGATTTCCCTCCAAGAATATCCGATCAGCCGGAAGTGCATTGAATACACTCCAAAGCACATGTATGTCTTTATGCACATTAGATAAATCCTGTGCATTCTGAATCCTTTCAAGCGCATTTTTCATAATCTGCTGAATTACGTCTCTGTTTTTTTCTGTTATATTATCTGCCAGAAGAAGAGCCATTCCATGCAACTCGCTATTTTGAGTTGACTTTACCGCAGAGTCTATCTGCTTTGCTGTTATATCCATTTTGAACGATGCAGATATCTCCCGCACTTCTTTGTGTGTCTCTGTCAGTGCATTGAGTATTATTTCCTTGAATCTTTTCTCTGGTACGTGATCCTGCACATCTTTTGTTTCAATCAGAACTTTCAAATAATGCAGTCCCTGAAGCACACGGCAGTAATTAGTGCTTTCAGCCATCCCCAGTACAATTTCAATTATTTCTTTAAAAAGAACCATGCTTTTTTGGTTTTTGTTGTCTTCCAGCTGGTTCTCTACTAAATATTTGTACTTAGTTACAACCTTGTATCGCATCGCCTTTACTACAGTATAGAATAACAGCCTGACTCTTTTCTGGTTCTCATTTGCCATAAGTATTTGGTTATACTGCAGCCACCGCACTATTTTGCCTAGCCTGCTTTCAATAGTAGCCTGGTCCTTTAGAAGACTTTCAAAGTATTCAACTCTTACATTTTCATTTTTTGTGCCAATGCATTTTTCATGCATATCCTCTGGAATAACACTACACGCATCAGTAAAAAATACACAGTTTAACGAGCCGTGCTCTACTAAAATTGCAAAAATCTCTCTGCGAATAGCATTTGATAGTTTGCTTGATAGTATGCGAATGTTTCTGGCACCTACGCTTGTAAAATCAACTTCTCGAAGCATTTTCGCATACTGCATGTGATCTGCTAATAGAAGAAGCTTTGTTATTTTATCCCCAGACTTTTTATCATTTAGCAAGAAAATATCTCCCTCGCTTGCTGACAGTCTCACTGATTTCATGGACAAAGTAATACTTGTTCTATTATGAACAGACCAATTTACATTATTAAGCAAAGAGCTTTCTAAACAACCTCCCACTAATTCCTTTACAATATTCTTAATAATATTCCTAATAACAAAATGTGAATTGCTCATGATGCTGTTTAATGTCTCCACTAACAGATCTTCATTGTCCTTAAGAATGCATCCTGGTGTTTCAATTTTCGTGGTATTTTCCGTGCCCCTCTTAATTAAGCCTGATGATTCTGTAACTTTTCTCATCTGCTTGGCCAAAAGTAGTATTGTTTCATACCCTACTCTTAACTCATGCGTTGTTTTAAGTTCGCGCACTTTTTTTATTACTTTGACTAGCTTATTCCAAACCAGCTTGTCATTAGTCAGCGCGCCCTTTAAAAACACCAAATAATCTATACAGCTGCATTTCATATCATCAACATCCTCTATATTCGATGTGCACTCTATACTTTCATTCAAACACCTTTCTGCGTGTGCAAGATAGTATAAATGCCCTCCATGCAGTTTCTTATCCAGTGAGTCTGTTTCTATAATATGGGCTTTTAAGTGCCCTTTACAGAGATCTTTCAAAGCAAAGGATTCTTTCCTTGCAACTGTTTCCACCATAAAAATTTGCAATATAGACACAGTTTATTAATATTTCTGGTTGCATCAAAATATTTATGCATTTCTTAACTTTTGGTTGTTCCAGTATGTTCTTCTATGTATATAATCCCACATGCAGCAATAGAAACAAATGAAACAATAAACACAATTATCATATAAACAGCTACATCGTATTGAGGCGGTGCATGATAAATCATCATAAAGTCTGAATTGTCATCATCTGATATTGAGCTGTTTAAAGAAATAGTAACAAAACTACTCTCACTATCTTTTCTTGTTTCTTGTGGTATAATATTGTTCATCAATCCTATTTTCTAAAACTAAATCATATTTATAATTTACTGTATTATTGTTTCTATTAAATATGAAAGTGCCAGTCTAAACTGTATACATCTGTTCTACTCTACTAGTATGTAAGTATACAATATACACAATATAAGAATACAATTAAATTATAAATTATTTCAGACTTCTTTTCATACAAAGTGCTGGTTTTCTGTGTATGCCAGGAGACTATAGATGTCTCTGGGGTAGCAAAGCATCTTATTTAAATGATGGTGTGGTGAATCTAAGAGTGAATATTGCTATTAATGGTATTATATGTGTGTAGATATCACTTCTAATAGTGTTATGATTGATGAAATTATAAATGATAATAAATTAAACCATATAAAGAGTTTCTGGAAATCAATAAATACCAGGCTTTATATATAACAAATATAAGTTTGCGCATGAGAAGAGAATATTTAAATAACGCATAATTAACACATTTTGTATTATTTAAATATTCTCTTTGTCTATTATTTATGTCTTCTATGCTGCTTGGTTATTAAAATACTAATTTTCTAGAAACAATTCAAGATTTTATTTTAATATTAACTGTGAACTATGCATAATTTATTAAAAATACAATATTATTTATGCCTTGCATTTAATAAAGTGTATAGTACTAAGTCTTTATTTTAATTTTTATATATACGCCTTTAAATAAATAAAATTTACATTAAAGATATTTCTGGCAATTACACTGAAAATATAAATTATAAGGCATAAATAATATTGTATTTTTAATAAATCACGAGTAGTTCACATAAATGAAATACAACTAAAAAGACTATTTTAATACATATTTATATCTAAATACAGGGCAGTAAAACAAGCATTACAAGTATACTAAAGACTTTGGTAATAATGTATATACAGTAGAATTTGAATGTATTTATTCTTAATAATTTAGAAGATATGATAACTATATGTGTAGAATAGAATACAGCTACGGTACAAAATAAAGAAGATTTGATGAAGCAGAAATAAGGCCCTTTTCTTGGAGAGCCATTATATATGCATCCAATTCCTGGTCTTCAAGTGGGAAAGTTTTCATAACAATCTGTTTAAGTTCGGATGATTCCATCCCCGTTTGTTTTTTAAGTGTTCTTACTATGCACGCCTCAATAGCACTCTTTGAATATGCATACTTAGCTGTTGTTATCTCACTGAGTGTACTTTGAGTATCTGGGGAAAATATATTTATCCGCCTGGGTTCTTTGGGAAGATTCTTATGGATTTCGTATATTCCATTGTTTTCTGTAATTATAGATGCATCAATTAATGTCTGTAATTTTGTTTTTATCATTTCTTGGGCCTGATCAGTTACATCAACCAAGACTGCATAAACTAGGCTGTCCAATGTTTCTATTCCTGCTCTAGCCAAAAGTATAAGAATTGTGCCTTGTATAACATCACACTCTACCTCTATATCATTTACCTCCAGAGTAACAGAGGACACTGTAGGGCAAAGCTTAAGAATAAATTTACGGCCTTTTTCTGTGCAGTACTTATTAAGATTACTCCACATCTCTTTTAGCTCAGCAGGGATGCGGATGTTTACTACAGGATAGTTCCATCTAATACATGCGAGCAAAAAACAATCAGACTTTAAATCTGACTTATGTGTTCGGAAATATATTTCACTTATTGCAATGTCCTTTATACAAAGAAGAATTTCTTCAAAATTTACAGGATCATAGTACTCCTGCGTTTTATGGAGAGTTTCTATATTTATGTATTCCAGTGCAGTTTTATGCACCTTTAAATTCTTCCTAAGCTTTGACTCTCGATATGCCTCAATCCGCTTTGTGATAAGATTTATCAGCTTTTTTTCAGTTGCCGCCAAACTTCCCATAATAAGTCTGTTTTTTATTCCTATTATAAACTCAGACCAGAACATATTTCTATGCGCCGGAACATTTGAAATAATTAAAGAAAGCTCTAAAAGAGGTTGTTTTCTCTGTTTCATGTGCGTCTCAATGTCTCCCAACAACTGCTTTTCAAATTCTAGCGTATCTGTGTTTGTTATAAGTAGTGATTCTAGCTTTCTTCTTAAAACCAGTTCAAACACCTTTTTAACACTGCCGGATGTGCGCGGCATGCACTCAAAGTGCTTGTTCATGAATATACAGAACTTGAGAAACGAGCTACAGTCAGTTATTTTTTCAACAATCTTTATGCTCATCAGAATGGCAGTATTTACAAAAATTGACTTGCTTTTAACCGAGCTATCGATAAATGAGTAGAATGGCACAACTTCTGCATGGCTTTTCTTATTTATCCCTGTCCTCATTATTTTAGAAACAAACCCTTCAATGAAGTTTTTCAAAATTTGATCATCTAGCTTCTCCTCAACCATTCGATATAGATTCTTTTTACTTTTCTCTTTGTTTTTAAACAGACCATCAACAGTAGCTATTTTATAGTAAATGTAATCAATTTGCTCTTTCTCACTCACTTTTTTCTTCAATATCGCAATAAACTTTGCAATTGCATTAAATAGCTTTTTTAGAGACTTCTTCTGATCCGATACTTCACATATCTTTATATAAACCCGCACCATAACCCGAAGTATCTTCAGCTTCTTATTGTATGCGCCTACATCAACCTTCTTTTGCAACTTTATTTCCAGATACTCCTTTAGTTCATCCACGAACATCATATGCAGCTTACTTTCTTTGCCATTTATAAGAATAGAAAATAGCCGCTGATAGTATAGATCCTTTAGCTCAACTACATTTGCATTGGATATCTCCAGATTAACTCGCACAAAGTATCTCTGCAGAAAAGAGAGCATTTTGCATATTCTTTCATTTGCCCGGATATACCCATCTATAAACCTAACAAATGTTTCTAGCGTATAGTCCTCTGGAAGTCTTTTTAAATGCTTGATCAATAGCTGGTCATATATCTTATATACCTCTGCTCCCTCAATGATGTACTTCTCCTTTGTATTCTCTGTACAGTACTTATACACTGCGTTATATCCATCCATAAATACAGCATAGCACTTTCTATCCTCTGGTGTACATATCAGTCTGTTGATTGACTCTTTTATTACAGATAAATACTTTTCTCCATTACTGCCCTTTTCACCTAGGTCTACTGCCATGCGCTGTATTTAAATTCTTTTCTTTTCTATTTTTTTGTAGTGTAATTAGCCAATGGGATATAAAATACTTGTAACAGGCACACCCGGCGTGGGAAAGACAACTCTTACAAAATATATGAAAACCCGCTTAAATTATAGGCTAATTGAAATGAGCGACTTAATTGCGAAGAAAAAACTGTTCACAAATAAATGCAAAATATATGACACTCTTGAATATAATCCAGAGGATGTGGAGCGATATCTTGAAAAAAAAATAAAAGACCGAGACAGTTACATAATAGACACCCACGACCCAGAGATAGTGCATTTTATTAAATTCGACATAATAATTGTACTTTCTGCGGAGTTAAGTGTACTTTATGATAGGTATCAGAAAAGAGGGTATAACAAAATCAAAACAGACGAAAATCTGCAGGTGGAAATAATGGAAGTAATTTACAACGAAGTGATAGAAGTACTTTGTGAGGATGAGGAAGAGGCTGAAAGAATAATAAAAGTAGAAACTGTTCAGAATAAGCAGCCCAAAAAAGTAGAGGACATATATAAAGAAATAACAGAAAATAAAAACTGGAAAAGAGTAATAGATAGAAGTAAAAATACAAATGAAGTAAAGCAGTAAAATACTTAAAGGCAGTATCAGGTTACACTAAAAAGAAATTTAGTGCATTTCCTATAATAAACATCAGGATATTTGATCTATTTACTTCTTAAACATGTTCTTTATATTAAATATGGTTTATTTTCTGTTATACTTTTCTGTGCGCAAGTTCATACTGTTGTCTTTTATAGTGAACGCGCTCTGGAGTAACTACACTGTCTGTCTGTGCTAAGTTAATGAGAAGAGAGAATTCACTGTCACTTAGAGAGGGAGTGCTTGTGTTATTAAAGAAATACTGTGCAGATATTTTTAGTATGGATCCTGTCTTTTTTGATCTGGATATGCCTAAGTACATTCTCTCCAAAAGAGCTAGGGAGAGTTTGAAAACAAAGCTAGGCCCATAATACGCGATGTAGTCAAATATTACTTCAATGTGTTTTTTCTGAAAAATCGTGCTGAATAAGCTAAGTATCCATGGGGTGACAAGTATTTCCAGTTCAATTTCTTTTTCTATTAAGTTATGGTGCAGGCCTGGGTACTTCTCTTTTGTAAACTCAATGAACACAAACAGGTCTCTGTGCATTCCATATATTTCAGCACCTATATAATCAGGAAGTATTCTGGTAAATATATGGACGAGTGCATAGAAGCACCCAGACTCGCCAAGTATCCTATAAAGAACTCCTCCAATCATAGAATGCGCCTGTAAGTATTCATTATTATTATAAGCAGTAAATGCTTGCATAACCTTTTTTAGCCCAGCATACACTGTATCAGGTACACTCTCATAAATAGAGCGACGGATGTCTTTCTCTATCTGTTCATATGAAGTAAAGTAGGTTTTTTTAGATTTTTCAACTGATGCGTGGTAGAGATCTGGTGCGCTCACCATGCCGCATATACAGAAGCATCCAAGCCAAATAAATGGCCTGTCATTCTTATTTACCTGTAGGCTCACGCCCTCCGCTGTTTTCATGCATAGGTATATTCTGTACTCTGACGATCTTCCCATAGACCAGTCTCCATGCCCATTGTTTAAGTTATAATTCATGCACTTGCTGTTTTTCAATAGATCTAGTAGAACTTCAAAATAGGTTGTTTTGAACTTTGGGTCTTCTCTGGCAATATTTAAAAGTATGCCTTCTATGGAAAGATCGTCATTTCTTTCTAGATACAGTTTAAACTCTCTATAATTTGCATCTCTAATGCGCAGAAGAACGCTCCACCCTTTGATTATTTCTACTTTTCTGATCATGCAGAGAGGAAAGGCTAGATACCGGCTATTCTCTTTTATAATGATAAAGTCATTTGTTATAGTAATAGTTCCTGTAGAATGCGATGCAATATGGAGTATGTGCTGGTTGTAAAGAGGGATTGTTACACAGAGTCGTTCACAGATTCGCATATAAACCAACTCTGAGACAGAACTGATTTCCTCTGCAGATGAAAGTGCAAGTGATCTAATCTCTTCCTCTAAATCGTTAAAAACAGAGCAAGTTATCTTTTTATAGTTTCCACCACTGGATTCTCCGCTCTTATCCACATGAAAATCTAGCTGCTGTTCATCAGAAGCAGTGCGTGGCTTATGCTTTTCAATACTCTCTGGCTTAGTACAATTCGTTTCCTTTGTAGCACTTTCTGCAGAGCATGGAGCGCCCGCGCTCACATCATACTCTTCCTGCGAAGAGCCTTACTAGTGCACAAATTACTATCTACCCATTCATTATCCATATATATTATCTCCATATTCTTGTGCACTTTTATTTCACGTATTACACTATATTCTACTATGGTTCGGTGGCCTACAGAAAATACACAAATCCCAGTGCTTCCTACAAGAATGATAGTCTCTGTACTTTCATAAGCTTTTATATACGAACCTATGCTCAGCCCAAAAGAAAGAGTCTCAAAAAAGGCAGGCACGCCGACTTCAATCCACCGAATTATTCTATTAAAAGACCAGCTACCGCACAGAACCCTCTCCGGCCCAGATAAATTCTTATCAATAAGACGATATCTGCCAACCTCTTTATCTACTATATATTCTCTTACTGTTCTATACCCCATATCCACAGACTCCGAATCCTCTTCACTATCATCTACACATTTCTTCTGAATATCTTCTGCTTTATGCAACTTCCTGCTGTTTATGTCTTTATATTCACTCTCCCTGCCTGGTTTTTGAAAGTAGTTTCCAGGGGGTGCCTCTTCTATCTTCTTCTCTATTGCAAATTTATCCTGGAAGTATACCTCTATCCACATAATATTTTAATTTATAAATTAACTCACTCCATATTTGGGATCTTCTTTGAAAGCCTTCTGTATGCCTCGTGTATGTGCGAAGGAAGAAGTTCTCCGCCATCATTCCACTCTTCCTGCACGTCCTTTGCCTCCTCAACCATTTCAGCAACAAACACTTTGGCAATACCGCTGAGCACAATTGAAAAGTTTGGATTGCATGTCTGGTCAAGCACTTGGCTTACAAACTTTCTGATGCCTCCTTTGTTAAACCCCGTTCTTCTAAATTTCACATACCGCTTTAGTTCATCTTCTGATAGGTTTACAGTTTCTTCTTGTGCTGGCGCATTATATGTTTCCATTTCCTCACTTTCTGTATCGAATGCCTCTGCTTCATTACTTCTCATTATTTTTTTGTTTTTTTGTCGGTATGTCTACTTTTGGGTCTGCACTGCCACTTGGCATAAAGAATGCCTTAATCGGATACAAAGAGGGAGATAAACCCCTACTGGATGAGCTGGGCATTGATTTTAATGCGATAAAAAGAGACTCTCTCCGAATTGTATTTATAAAAAGCACGGAGCATAAGGATACAATGGATATGGTTGGCCCGCTCCTATTCATTATTCTATATGGAGTTATTCTATTCATACGCAGTGCTGTTCACATTGGGTATCTTTATTACTTATCCACAATTAGCTGTATGTTTATATATGTGCTGCTAATTCTTATGAATAATAATAATAGAATTAGCATTCTGGGAATAATTAATGCGCTTGGGTACGCACTAATACCCATTCTGATATTTGCAACAATTGGAAAATTCCTACCAACAGAAAAGAGCTTTAAACTCTTTATTGGAGCACTTTTTTCTATTTGGTCAACAGTTGTTTCCACAACAGAAATAATAAGAAGGTTCCAAATACAAGACAGAGGTGTTTTAATAGGTTATCCCATATTTTTGGTATATTCATGCTTTATGATGCTTTCTACCATTTAATGTAGGAATTTTCTTAAGAATTTAAAATTAAATGTAATCAGATACAATGACATTCTACACTACCTTCAGACCGCCCGTCATTGGAGAATCATCATATTACATGGGCAATAAAAAATTAAAAAATATAAACATGACAAATTAGAATAACAGTCTGTTGAAATTACCAGAAATATAAAAAAATCAGGATTATAGAATATTTCTGTGTCACATAGCCATTTCATTATAACAAGTAATAAATAGAAAATAAGAATAAAAATTACTATTTAACTAACTGTATTACAATTACAATTTACTATATTCGGCAGCTATTTATAGTGTTTAGTTTGGCTGTGCTCTAATAGCATAATGCAGGTATTCTCTAAATTAGTCAAAATAGTGTGCATCACCGCACTAATATCAATGTCCACAGGGCATACTGATGGAGAAGTTTTATTAGAAGAAAGGGCTGTGGTAGAGTCCAATTCAAGTATTATGAATGCTATAGGAGGAACAATGAATAAAATCACTAAGTCCATCGACATGTTAAGAAGTAGATTCTTGAGTAAATTTATAAGTACAGATAGTATTAGAGAGTACGGTTCTGATGACATATACGAAATAGACCTAGACACATCTGATTGTGTTATAAAATCTCCCCGAGATACATGCGAAAGTAATACTGGTCTTCTGCTACAATGCGATCCAACATTTAATGAATACGCAAAAGACAGCATTATGTATGAAAGCAGCGATGAGGAAGTGCCTGCTGGCAATAAATTGGGCAAAAGGGAGAATAATTGGTTTGGATATTACTTTAATGGTATAACAGTCTTCAACCATCCGTATATTTATGACATATTTGCAAATAAAAGCACTCCAGAGATAATTAACAAAAAAGAAAATGAACTGCCAAGAATAAAACGGCCAAAGAGAAATATTTTTACAAATACAAAGAACTTCTTCTCTATATGGGCGCCCGAAATGAAGAGTGTATTTTACTGCATGGTTGTTATATTTAGTGTATTTAGCACATATTATCTGGATCAGACTGACATTCCTAAAACATCAAAGGATTTTATTAGAAAGGGTGTACAGACGGCAATTAATACAGCGAAAGAATTTATAGTAAATAGCAATGGAAACCCCTCGTTAAATAGCACAGAAGTATCCCAATATATAGAAATAACCCGAAATGACATTATTTCAGGAAAGATTCTTGTGTTTTCATCTCTAATTGATTTAGAAGCAGTTATAGCAAGAGAGGAAAAGATTTTTGAAATGATAGACCAGCTAGGGATGCGGGGAAGTGAACTACCAAAGTATGTCCATGATTTGGCAAACATTTGTTTAGAACAAGCAGGAATCCCTGTAGGACCAGCTTACAATGGCCTAACTCATTTGCTTAAACTGCATATGTATACATATTCATATGAAGGGATGATTTCAGTACTCCAGAACCCGTATATAAAAGATATTAGGCGGGAGCACTTGGATGACGTGTTCAGACTATTTGGAAGTGAAATATTACAGATACTCCTAGCAACTAGGCAGTATTTTGCTGAGTGTATTCTTCTTGATGGCATAACTACTTCTTAGTTCTATGCAATGGGTGGTAAGAATAGCCAAATCGCGCCCATTATTAAGAAATTCGGGTTATAGTATATGTCTAGAAAATAAAAATAAAACATAGCATGAAATACTCTACTGAGAGCAGACAATACTGCTCTTCAATAACAAAATTTCTGGCTGTTACAAATAGCATGGTGGATAGACGAATTACAGTAGGTATCTTAGCCTATTAGTTGTTTTTGATTACTCTCAAATGTATTTAAGCCTATACCCATCTATTCTATAAATAGCTCACTGCTGAGGTATAAAGAAGAGATAATTCATTGTTTCTTGGTTTAATTCAGATTTATTAGTTGGTGGCTTCTCCAGTGAGTAGCATGAACTTTGCCTTTACCTTTTCCTTTCTCTCAGCGTTTGTCAGCTTAGCTGGCTTGTGCTGGTACTTAGATCTGTCAATTGGGGTAGTTCTCTTTGTTCTTTCGAAATTATCTTGTCTGATCTTCTCAAATGCCTCTTGGTATCTCTCTTCAATCACATCGGCGGTGATTCCGTTCTTAATGTACTCTGAGAATTTGGCCTGGTATGCCTCTGGGTCGCTCTCTTCAAGCTCTTTCATGTAGGTGGCTACATGTCCTCCAAAGATTCTTTCCTTGAGTGCTTCTGCATCGAGCTCCTTGTCTTCTGTGCTGTATCCAACAAACTTGTTTGGTGAGTGTGGAATGTGTAATCCACCATCGCATGCTCCCTTCATAGCAGAGAACACCTTTGCTCCCTTTGAGGATCTGGCAAGTCCTATGTCTAAGTAGCATCTGAATGCCTGTGGGCCTTCTTCATTGTCAGACTCTAAGTACTCTTCTCCGTCAATTTCCTCCTTTCCAGTGTACTCGCCAGCCAGACCAAGCTTAGTCAGCATCTTTCTTGCACAGAGGAATCCAGTTGCGTATGCAGCGGCGTAGTTCTTTAGACCAAATGCAATGCCATATTTCTTAAGCTCAGTTGAGTCGGCTGCACAGATAACTTTGTCACCAATGGTGTATGCCTGCACAATCTGGCAGATAACTTTGGTGTTAGTGATTCTTACAACAAATCTTGACTTCACTTCTCCGTAGTTAGCCTTGTTGTGTCTGATTAAGTTATGTCTTTGCTGGTAATCGGTCTTTCCTTCTCTTCTTCTTCTTAAAGAAAGTCTCATTCTCTTCATGTGTGACTTGTGGTCTCTTGCTTCTTCAAATGACATTTACTGGGGTTAAATTTTCTAAAACTTAAAAATAAAAAACCAGTACAGTAGAAAGAAACATTCGATAAATAAATCTTTCACGCCTGCTGAAAACAGTTAAAACTATATTAAACACCCACACAATCGTGTATTTTACTCTTTACTCTTTTTTGTCTTTCTTCTCCAGCTTATTTAACAGTATTCTTGCCACCTCTGCCTCTGAAAAGACATATGGGATAAGATCCCGCATCATTTCCTTTCCAAGAACATGCAATGACCGGTCGCACACCTCTAAAAAATCTGTGGCAGACCCAGAATATGCGAAAACTCTGTGCAACTCTTCTATTTGGCTATAAAAATCAATATTTTCTCCCAGTCTGCTAGAAGAGTCCAAAAGTGTCTGCAAAAGTGTTCTCCAGTGCTCAATCTCTGCTTCTTCTAAGTCCGACTCTATTGCATAGTACACTTCCCCTAGAATTCTGCTGTAAAACATTGTCTTTATATGGGTAAGCATAGCACTCGTAAATGTTCTATCTACAGTCTCAATGAAGCTTCTGACTATCCCATCAATTTTACCAACAGCACTTTCCTCGGAAAAATCAATCTTATCTGCCTGTGAGCAGAGAATCAACTGCGAAAATGACCCTTCCACTCTATCTACAATGTATTCTTTCATCTCGTTGAATATCTGCGCTATGTTTTTATTAACTGTGCCCTCTGCATGATTTCTATCTGCTACTAAGGAAAGTACACCAAGAACTGCCTGGGCGTCCGCCAGCTGTAGTGCACACTTCTTAATCTCTGAGATGCCGTGGAAAGGTATGCCTTTTCAAAGTAACTCAGCACATTTTCTGCACATATTTTCTGGATTCTTTCCTTTTGTGCTCTTTTAGTACTTAATATTCTCTCTAGAATCTGAAAAATGCCTAATAGTCCCTGTGAAATACTCAGCACCTTTTGTTTCTGGAGGCTTTCTGAAAGTAAATACAGAACAGACATATTTTTTTCTTGTGTATTCATTTCTCTTCTATTGTTCAGCCCTTTCTTCTGCGCATCTGTTATTTCTTCAATCTTTGTTTCATTACATATTTCCCCTATTTTCTGCACTAAGTTATCACAGTACCATGTATCTATATCTTCTATGTGGTAAACAGTCCCATAAAACAGCTCTTCATTATATCTTTCAATTTGCTCGTAGGATATTCTGTGCAAATCAGATAATAGACGGGATTTCACCTCCATCAAAATATCTTCGAAAATTACTAGTTTTGACAGAGTTTCGCAGAGCCTATTGCTGGTTACAATTGGCTTATCGCCTTCTAGAGTTATTCCTTCAAGTATTTTTGCTCGTACTTCACTCTCTGCTATTTCATTTTTTTTATTTGTTATATATGTAATAAGCTCTATACTATTCTCCGACACTGCGCTTATCACATTGCTGTACAAAAGAATTGAATCTACAACTGTTTTTTTAATGGTCTGTATATAAGCATTTGTGTGGCCGGGCAGATATTTTTGTACATAAGATAAAAGTGCATTATAGTCCAGAGAAACCCTTAGATGGTTTACTTTTACCTTCATCCCACTCACTGGAATCACTATGCTGTGCTCTTTATACATTGTGCTAAAGTACTCAAGAATTTTAGAGCCTAACTCCTTATGATTTATCATTTTAGATAGCTTTGGTATTTCATCTGCCCTCTCAATCCTGCGGTCTATCGCATTCTGCTTGTCTATTTCCTCGTGTAATTTTTCAAGTCGTTTTTTATACGTCTCTACCTTATCCGGGGTATTTTTAAGCTCTTTTTCTTTCTGCGCCAATTCGGCTATTTCTTTGTCTAAATTGTCCATTTTCTCTTGTATTTTCCTTATTTCTTCTGCTTCTGCTCTCATTCCTTCCGCCGTTTTTAAATATTCAAGAAATTCATCCATTGCACACTTCAAAGAATAACAAAAAATATGAATAAAACTTTATTTAAATAGAGAACTCCGGGTTAATTCGGGTTAATCCGCGCAGTATTTCAGTAATAGAAAGTAGCCATCAAAAGGAAGCTTTTCTCTCGTTTAGATACTAATTAGTTCATCATTCTTATCTTCCCCTGTATTAAAAATGGTTTGTTTGGCGCCTTGGGTTGGGGGCACAATACTTTTATCTCTTTTTCTGTGACTATTTCTAGAATAGCTAAGTATCCTATAATAGGAGAGGAAGGAACATCCTCTATGCTCTCAGCTGAAGAAATAGCTAGAATTGACCCCTCTATGGGAGTGCAGTCTAGTACAGCAGTGGATACCTTTCTCTTTGACGATCCCAAAGGAAGCGCAGACATTGGAGCCATGTGCTCATCTCCAACCTGCACAACTCGATACTCATTTTCCTGTACAGTGTCATTCTCTGTTAGCTTTATAGTAATTGTGCACGGGCTGTACTCGTCCTGCTCTCCATAGAAATACGTCTTTATTCGATTTGCTATCTGGTTTCTTCTCTGCTCGGTGCCTCTTTTTACCAGGCCTGGGAACCGTGGAATGTATATTTTATTCTCAACTGAAATTTGAGTATAAAACTTCTCATTTCCAATTACAAGTAAATAATCAGCTCCACAAGTTTCAAATAACTCTTCTACCTCAGTCTTTGTGATTTCATTGTGCCCAACTATCATGGCAGCCTCTGCTGTCTTTTGCCTTCCCGAGGCAAGCATCTCTTGTGTTAAAAGACAGTATAAGTCTATATTGTCATTTGCACTCGTAGATCCTGTAAAGTACGCCAATTTCTCAGTTATTGTGGCTCTTTCTATTGGGCTGAACGGCTCCTGAACCATTGCACTTGTAACATTCCCGGGGAACAAAAGTGTTCCATTGTATACATCTAAGTCTGTATAAAGAACCTTGTCTCCCTTTCGTATAAAGTAGTTCGTAAGAATGTTCGCGCAAGTGGATCTCCCCTCTCCTATGACCAGTACTTTCTTTTTATGCATGTTGTACAGATTATGGAACACATTAAAAATATATGGAATGTTTGTCTCCTGTGATATATAATAAAATGCATCATTTGCCGCTAGTTTAATTCTACACCCAGTGCATGTAAAAATAACAAACTGTTCCTCCTTCACCGTGTACCACTTCCCCAGTAAAAGTTCTTGGCCAGATATTTCTGCTGTGTTTTCTGACAGAACAAATTTTGCTTTTGTATTTGGGGGTATTTCTATTCTTAGCTCGCATCCCGCACTTAACTCAATGTCCATTAATTTTTCTAAAAGAAGAGTTTTAATCGTATTTATATGCTTGTCGCACACTTATATTGATCCGCGAGTCTGAAATAAGACTGAAAAATTCTTCGTTCTTATAGTCCTCCAGCCCTTTGTTCAAGCTGAGTATTTTTGGCACACCATGAAAATACTCTCTTGAGTCTCCTATTAAAATTGCAATGTCTCCGTCCTCTAAAAGAAAAGTGTCCACAGACGGGTCTTCTCTCTCTTTTGTTCCCAATACAAAGACGCACGATGCCCCAAAACTAAAAGATATCAGCGGTTTGCTCATGTCTTCCTCATACCTATCAATGTGGCTCATGATTCTATCTTTTTTCTGATAATAGTTTATAACTGCTGTTTCAGGTATAAAGCTTACTTTGCAAATCTCCTGTGATATGTCCATACACACTTGGTCTATCACATCTGGTATTTTACTTGTTATTTCTTTATTATATGCTTTTATTTCCCAGTCATAATATATTCCTATACTGCTCCACCTTATTTTTTTAATTAGTTCTATTGGGCTTATTTTTACTATTCCTGTATTTAAAAAGCTTTCTTTTTCTTCTGGTGGTGCATACGGGTTCTGCTTTATTTTAATTTTAGCCACAGGACTATCATACATTTTAACTGATATTTCTTTGTTCTGTAAGTATGCCCCATATATGTCTAAATCTTCTATTTCAAGCGATCTATCTATACTGTTTCGGTAGGGAGGGTATAACAATTTTGTGAGAACTTCCTTTGTTATTTCCCTCTTTACCTCTTTTCTTAGAGGGTTTGGTATAAAGATAAATCCTCCCTTAAAATAATATGCAGTCACTGTGTCTTTAAGAAATTTGCTGTTTGTTGTGATTTGCTCCTGGCTCTGGCAAAACGTATGCGCATTTTTGCTATTTATAGTTGGAAGTGCCTCAGAGTGCATATGATATTTTTCTACCTCTCTTAATTTAGTTCTTTCCATTATTAATTCAAGAAAAAAAAACTGTAATACTCTTCTGTTGTGTACACTTTTTAATATACATATTCCATAGTAATTATTTTTTTATACACCAACTCTATAACTATAATTACACATAGTAATACCTATACACCAAAACACGGTAAGCCAGATTTATATTTTTAACATCCAGAACAGAATTGCATGGTTGGCGGCTTGAAAATTCAGATTGTTGTTTTAATTGTTATATACCATCTTTATTTATAGCACTGCAGAAGATGCTTCTGTTTTCTTTTTCAAATTGAGAAATTATTGCAAAAATCGCACTATCTTTGCATTCTATTCACATAGTCATTAGTCTTACAATTTAAGAAATTCAATTCCTTCTACGGTTGCTGCACATATAAATCTATTAAACACCACTGCATTTAATGTTATGCTGCTTAAAGCATACTCGCAGATCATTGTATTATCCATTTTTAAAGAAAACACACAGACTTTTCCCGCATTTGTTATTGCCATGGCCACTGCCTCTGATACTGTAATTATTTTAACTACACATTCTTTATCCTCAGACAGCTTGCAAACTCTCTCTGTTTTATATTTTATGTTTAGTATAGAAACTGTAGATGAGAAATCACCATAAATTAGCGTGTCTTCAAAGAATGCAAGTGATTCAACTGACTCCCTCTCTGTCTGAGTATTCTGATACACATTAGTTAATTTTCCCTGCTCTGGAGAGTATGAAAGAAGAACCAGTGTTCCATTTCCATATCCTACTGCGACTGTTTTCCCGGTTTTGTTTATCTGCACAGCCCGAATGTCTGTCTCAAACTCGGCTTTATATCTAGCAGATACACTTCCCGTGCCTTTGCTAAATATTATTATATGCGTGCCAGAGACTGTGTATAAGAAAGAGTCTGATTCCAATATGTCCTGGATCTCTGAAGAATGCCCGGCATATATTCTTACTGCTCTTGCCTCAATTGCTGCGATGTCTGCAGGGAATTCTTCTACCAAGCCATCCGCCGTGCCTATGTATATCCTCTTCTTGTCTTTTGAAAGCACTGCCTTGGTTATATCCATCTGCAAACACACTATGTTTACATCTTTTGTATATCGCCCATTCTCTTTTATGAGATTTATTTCAGCAATTGTTCCATCCATTGCGACAGCAATTGCTTTATCACTAGAAATAAATTCTGTTATTATAACTGAATCCTCAAATCCTTCAATTACTTCATCTATGACATAGCTTTCTCCATTAAATACGTGGAATGTAACTGCATCATCTCCTCCTCCGGATATAACCATGTTTGTCTCCTTGCATGTGTCAATACAGTATACTTCTTCTGTTTTTTCTTTTATTTCCTCCATTCGAAATATTTTGCAGCGTATTTTCTAATTTTATTTATCTTCTAATAGCTGCATTAACTGTCGCATTTTATTAAACATCCTAGACACAATAGAAAAACTCAGATAAATCCACTGTCATATTATCTATTTATTTTATCTTTTTGGCCAAATCGCTGTTTCCCTCTAGCAGTGTAGTTAAAAACTCGTCTGTTACTTTCTTTCTGGCAATTGGTGGTTTATAGTACAAGCCCTCTTCAGTTACTATTCGTATAATGCAAGCAAGGCATTTAGTAAAATTAGTCAAGGTAAAAAAGCCATTCTGAAAGTTTGAATTCTTTCTAACAAGCAGCCTAATATGCACTGCATTTCCGTTGTCTAAGGACATTGGGGCAAAGACAAGCCCAGAAAGCATTTTCTCTTCTGCCACATACCACTGTAGTCTCTTTTTAAGCTTTAGAATAGATTCGTTCGAGCATTCTATGTTAATAGGCAAGTCAATGGTCCAGTATTGTGAAATAGATCTCCTAACGTTTACCACAGGAAACTTACTCACCACACTGTTCTGTATTATAGTGTAAACACCTGCCCATGTAGTAAAGCAAGTGGAAAAAAGCCCTACCTTGTTTACAATCATATTTTCTCCCTTAATAAGCACACGATCTCCTGTATCATATGGATGAGATATAAGCAAAAATATAAAGCTTTCAAAAAAGCTAATGCTCCCTGGTATTATCGCATTTATCAGAGAAAAAGAGAAGAGTGTCTGCAAGAATAAGTTCTGCATATTCATAGAAATGGTAAATACTATAAAGACCAGTATTCCTTCAACAATACACAAGAACCAGTTAAAATGGCTGAGTAGTCTTCTGCAGTCTTTAATCGCCATGTACAGATTGGTTCTTTCTAGTGATATTTGTCTAAATGTTTCCTTGAAAGTTGAATATTGGATTCGGCTTCTTTCTCCATAAGAAATAAGAGAAAAAAGAACATTCGCATCTTCTGGAGAAAAAACATCCAGAAGAGATGCAACCGAAATTGCTCCTTCTACTTCGTCCATCTGTGGGGTAAGTCTAGGCCTATTTGGAATTCTAAGACTCTCGCCCAGCCCATATCCATATTCCTCTAATACCGACCCTTCTGTTTCATCTGTTCTGCGCCACTTCTTAAAGATATCCAGTAGTGGCAACTCTTCTGGCCGCCCTTTCTTATAAAATGTATCTATTTTTAGATTCTTTCTCAACTCTTCCTGAGTTATTTTGCCAGTTGCATACAAAAGATACTTCTCCAAATGCAAGACCTCCATATTATGGCCAGTACTAAAGTCCTTCAATAGATTTCTTTTTGCTGTGGCGTACAACACCATAAGCAATGCTCGCACTGCGGTGTCTGTTAACACCACAATATGCATTCCATGCAAGGAGTATTCCACCCAAGGCCACTCTGTAATAACTCCCAAAAGAAACAATTGGAGCCGTATTTTATAGAAAACAAAGCAGGGAATGCTGTATTTACATCTCCTGTACAGTAATGGAAATACTCCAAAGAGTGTTATGGCTGAAATTAAGTGAACCAACAACACAGTTTCTCTCCTGCTTTCTGTATTCATAAGCATCAGGCCAATTCCCCAATTTGCAAGCGCAAACACCCCCAGCAAGACAATAAAGAATACATTCTCTTTAAGTCTCATAAATAAATATTTTTAGTTTCTTAAATAAACAATGCTATAGGGTAATTTATTACTTACAATTATACCCCAAAATAAATTAAGGCGTAGTTTTTTCTTCTATATAACCAATTATATATTTCTCTAATATTTTCTTATAATTGATCCACGGGTGTAGTGCATAGAACAGCTCAGTGCAATCTTTTCCTGCATTTTCGTATATTATACTTGATCCGCCCGGGTGCTCTTTTGCATATTCTGCTACATCATAAACGACATTTGATAAAATTATCCAGCAGCTGCTTTTTGTTGTATGCTTAGCCACCTCTTCTATTGAATATAGTTTAGGTTTTTTGTGGAGCATAACAATGTATTTAATGAATTTTTTTAATACTAATTTATGACTGAGACAAACATAGCCACTGCTATTCTAGATGAAAAGAGGCCAAACAGCTATCAGATTGTATACCCGACAGATGAGTGTGTAAAAGGGGAGTGCAACTTAGATCCTGCGGATGTGGGTCTTTCTTACAGCCGTATGCAAGAGTTAAACATATTTCAGTACGATGTTATTCTTATAAAGGGTAAGAAGAGAAAGGAGTCTCTTTTTATGGTTAAGAAAATGGACATACCTGATGACAAGTTGGTTTTGCTTCGTGAGGGGTGTGAAAACTTGTGCTCTAGAGTTGGGGACTTTGTTAAGTTGTATGAGCTTACAGACGACACGATTACTGTAGAGAAGGCCACAATTCTACCTGTGAAAGAGGATTTAGAGGGTGTGGAGATTGATGTGTATAATGACTTGCTGAAAGGATACTTTGAAAAGGCTGTTAGACCTATCCATGTAAATGATACAATTACAATTAGAAGCAACAGGGTGTTTAGATTTAAGGTTACTCAAGTGAAGGCAGGAGAGTATTGCTATGGAAAAGTAGGACAGGACACTGAGATATTCTGTTCAGGCGAGGTGACTGAGGAGGAATTACTGGCTGATAAAAACATGATAGGATATGATGATATTGGAGGATGCCGAAAACAAATGGCAAAAATACGTGAACTAGTTGATCTTCCACTCAGGCATCCAATTCTATTTCAAAAATTAGGAGCCAAGCCACCGCGAGGAATTCTTATGCACGGCCCTCCGGGGACTGGTAAAACCATGATTGCCCGGGCTGTTGCAAACGAGTCTGGAGCCTTCTTCTTCCTTATAAATGGGCCTGAGATTATGTCTAAACTTTCTGGTGAGAGTGAAAACAACCTGAGAAAGGCATTTAAAGAGGCAGAGAAAAATAGTCCTAGCATTATTTTCATTGATGAAATCGATGCCATTGCACCAAAAAGAGATAAAAGTCAGGGTGAAGTTGAGAAAAGAGTGGTAAGTCAGCTGCTCACTCTTATGGATGGTCTAAACTCTCGATCTACAGTAATTGTGATTGGGGCAACCAACAGGCCAAACAGCATTGATCCAGCACTCAGAAGATTTGGTAGATTTGATAGAGAGCTTGAAATAGGAATACCAGATTTCGCTGGCAGACTTGAAATAATGAGAATACATACAAAGAACATTCTTATTGCCCCTGAGACTGACATTGAGAAGATTGCAAAGGACACGCATGGTTACACGGGAAGTGACTTGGCTTCTTTGTGTTCAGAGGCAGCTCTTCAGCAGATTAGAGAGAAAATGCATTTGTTTGACTTGGACAGCGACGTGCTAGACATTAATGTGCTAAACTCTCTGGCAGTCACACAGAAAAACTTTGAGTATGCACTGCAACACACCGATCCCAGCTCTCTTAGAGAAACTGTTCTTGAGGCTCCTAACATCAAATGGGAGGATGTGGGTGGCTTAGAGCACGTCAAGACAGAGCTTAAGGAGATGGTGCAGTATCCTGTAGAATATCCCGATCTTTACAGAGAGTTTGGCATGAGCCCTTCTCGTGGAGTCCTTTTCTATGGACCTCCTGGATGTGGTAAAACCCTTTTAGCCAAAGCTGTGGCCAGCCAGTGTAATGCAAACTTTGTTTCCATCAAGGGGCCAGAACTGCTTACCATGTGGGTTGGTGAAAGTGAAGCAAATCTTCGTGAAATATTTGACAAGGCTCGTGCAGCAGCCCCGTGTGTTCTCTTTTTCGATGAAATTGACTCAATTGCTAAGGCTCGTGCTGGTGCAGGAGACAGATCTAGTGGCGGTGCTACACAAATACTGAACCAAATGCTGATTGAAATGGATGGAATGAACACAAAGAAGAATGTGTTTGTAATCGGAGCAACTAACAGGCCTGATGTGATTGAACCTGCTCTCTTGCGACCAGGAAGGCTTGATCAGCTGATATACATTCCACTTCCAGATGAAGAAAGCAGATACTCCATCCTTAAAGCAAACCTGCAGAAGGCCCCTCTTGATGAATCTGTAAATCTTAAGGAAATTGCTGCAAAAACTATTGGGTTCTCTGGTGCTGATCTTACAGAAATCTGCCAAACTGCTTGTAAGTTTGCAATTAAAAAGAGAATCGAAGAAGAAATTGCTCTAAAAAAGAGCAAAATGGAAATAGCAGATGTGTCCACTCCAGAAGGAAATGAAGGTACAGCAAATGATAAAGAGGCAGAAGCTCCCAGCAAAACTGTCTTTGTTACTTCCGAGCACTTCAAAAAGGCCCTAGAAAGAGCAAGAAGAAGTGTAAGTGAAGAAGAAGAAAGGCGATATGAAGGATTCCAAAACAAGTATAAAGGAGGCCTTGGCGATAGTGCTCTTGACGATGAAACTGGCCTGTATGATTAAATGATCTGGGAAAGAAAATAAATTTCTTTTAAAATCTATCTATGTACTTTTTTATGATTATTCAAACTGGCTCTTCTTTTATTATGGCCTATAATTTATGCATAAATAAAGATTTCCACAATAAAAAATTTATGCTAAATTCGTATAATACTCTTGTAATAGCTGGTGCCAGTGGCTCAGGAAAGTCTACAATCGTACGACACTTACTGCATAGATACCCCTGCAAGTTCACTATTTCTGTGTCATACACTACCAGAGTGCCTAGAGAAAAAGAAAGAGACGGGAAAGACTACTTTTTCATAACGCGTGATAAGTTTATGGACAAGATAAAGAATAATGAGTTTATTGAGTATGCCGAGTATGCTGGGAATTATTATGGGACTGGCATAGAATATAAAACCCCGCAAACAGGAAAGATTCTTCTGTTAGAAATAGAAAAGAATGGCGTGAAAAGTATAAAAGAGTCTGGAGTTAAAGCAGCATACGTGTATATATATGCACCCGAATCTATTTTACATGAAAGAATTTCTCAAAGAGCTTTAATAACCCAAGACGAGCTAAGCAAGCGCCTCATGAAGGCAAAAGAAGAGAATATATATGGGCACAGCAGCGAGTTTGATAAAGTAATTGATAATACAAATCTTAATGATGCAATTAATGAAATTGAAAGCTTTTTAAAGTCCACATTTGGTCTTAACTAGAAATTATTTAAGGCCTATTATTTTCTAAATACATTTTCATGTATTTTGAATAAGAAAACCCCCAATTTTTTTGAAGTGTTGTATTTGGTACTCTGCTTCTGTAATTTGAATATAGAGCAATTAAGCTGTCTTATAAAATAAGTATTTGCAAGTCTACAACTAATAATTATAGTTAGTTGCTAATAAACCGATAATTGGATATATATCTGCATCCGCTTATAATTATACCTATTAGTATATTTTTGGTTGACTTTACTTCTGTAAAGGATAAATAACTTTAATTTTAATAACTCCATATAATCCGAAATTTCTATTTTATTTCTTAATTTTAATAGAACTTGTTGTTGAATTTCTTTTTACATTTGGTTATTCTATGTTGCGTATTTACACATTAATTTAATGTATTTCTATGTTTACTTATTTATCTCTTTGAAATAATACTGTTTTATACAATCTTTTGTTCGGCGATTAATGCCTTTTTAATTGTGTGGCTGCATTAATTCTTTATGAAATATGTTTGTTGTTTATGCGTTAGACAATACTTTTCGTTTTAATTTGTATATTTTTATTTCTATATATCTATACATTCATTTATATATTCTTGTAATTATAGTACAAGCTAAAATATATTTTAAATAGTTTTCTATATTTATACTTTATATAAAAAGACTATACTAGTTATTCCTATGCCATTTAGCAATATATAAGTGGCTATAATTTACTGCGCATTCTTCATTAAATAAAAGAAACTTAAATTATAAACTAGCATATAATATAATAAACTGTGATTATATTGCATGTGCATTCCTAGCCAACTGTACTTTATTCTCTTCATGTTCTATTACTACTATACACAGCCATACATTGACTAATTATACTATAATTATACTTTTTTCATTTTTTTCTGACGGGATATTTTTTTAATTTTAGTCCTGAATTATAGGATTGATGAAGTGATGGATGAAGGAAGAACTTAAGGAACAAGGGGGCCACAGGCCGGCTGGCCCCCACACCGAACACGTAGCCAACCAATCTGGCCACAGGTGATTTTGTTTCGGACTGACCCACAAGGCTGAGTGTTTCCAGGCCAAACAATGCATTTGTATATGGCTGAGAAGTCTCTCGTCC